CACTGATTTGAATTTGCTTATTGAATAATTTCATTTGCTTGGCTTTTTACATGATATTGTACAAATGTTTGTCACAGGCATTTACTTCAATAAGAGGTGAGTCAGTCTTCATTTTGCCTTGGTGCTTGGTGAATTACATGTCATGAATAAGGAGTACAAAATTTTTTGTCCATACTTTTAGGACAGAGATGTACCTGATATCTAAAATGTAAACTAAGCATTATCATATGTATGTGATTATATATGTCTTCTTTGTTTTAGATTTATCATACTTGTAATTAAATTCAGATGTCTGATACTACCAATTCAAAGTCTGTCACACACTTTTTTTAAAGTGCACATTTCTTTGTAAATGCAATAAAATATATATATAAAATAATATTTTCTATTATTTTGGGATAATTTTAACATAATTTAAAATAATGGTATTGTCAAATCATTATTTGGTCATAACATTTTGTAGATGGCACAAAACATGAAATGGGTCTTAAAAATCTAGCAAGAGAAAAATTTTGCAATTTGTACTGCACATCTGCAATTTGTACACACATACAAATTGTGTGAAAATATGAAAACACATGCACAATTTCTTTTGGTTGGTAACTGACTAGTAGTTGAGGAACTGCTCCAACCTTTCAAGATAAAGAGTAAAATCATAAGAAGTTTGTTCACTTTGAAATTATATTAAAAGTTGGATAAAAATCTTAGAGGTCATTAGCATTCAAATAATAATATTTCTAGGTCTGTCAAAAATTATATCTGATTAAAGTTGTTTGTATATAGGTTATATGAGTATATTCTTGTTTTTATTTTCTTTATTGACTGGTACTAGAAATATGTATTTTTCTGTGTTCAGAAATATGTGATTTGGATAATGGCTGAATTCTTAAGTGTCACCATCATATCTGGAAAAAAAAAATAAATACTCTCACAAAACCTAAGATGAATCAGTGGGTATATGCTTCATACACAGATGCCATTTAGCATGCAAGGAAGAGTTACTACAGGTGTTGGGTTAAAAATTTGAGTGGCCAGAGCACTTTCAAGAAAAAGCAGGCCAGATGTTGCTTAGAGCCTTGATGAAGAGCCTACTCAATAGACATTTCCTATGAACCAATTTCTGCAAAGCTCTGGAGAAAACCTTTTGACTTCAAGTGACAAGATTCATGGATTAAAAAAAAACTGAGCCAGACATAGTGGTGCATGCCTGTAATCCCAACAACTTGGCAAGTTAAGGCAGAAGAGGCCAGCTTGGGCAACTTAGCAAAACCCTGTTTCAAAATAAAAAAATAAATCAAAGAGCTGGGGATGTAGCTAGGTAGTAGGGCACCCCCAACTTCAATCCCAGTACTACAAACAAACAAGAAACAAATTACAAAAAAGAAATCTTAAAATGTTTCCAAAACTGCTTGAGAGTAATAGAATATTAACAAGCCTTAAAACTATTGAAAAACAGCTACGAGAACTACCAGATAACATTGAATGGTATTTTCCTTTCCTTTCAATATAAGTACATGACTGGATGAGGGACTCTGGCTCTGACTGTTCGGCTCAGTCTGAGAATTTAAGACTTTGAGAGAAAGGAAGTGCTCGGAGAGCCAGAGTCTAACTGCACACTTTGGTGGTATTTACTGCTTAACCCTAGATATATTCTGAAATTCTGTGAAATAAGGATGCCCTAATATTCATGGAACAGCAATGAATATTTTGTTGCAGTTTTCAACTTCCTATATGCATGGGTAAGAAAAAAACTGCACTTTAGCTGAAAATGAAATCCATATTTGCTTAACTCTCAAGTTCAACTCAGAATTGAATATTTATGCAGGAAAGAAACAAGTACAGGTTTGATATTAAAGAAGTAAGATTCACTCTTCATTTTGAGTTTCAAAAAAACATTTTTTGTACATATCTAAGACTATATAAAAGATGAATAACCAATACAAATTTAGAATAATGTTGAGATTGCTAGGCTTACATTTAGGTCATTCAGAAATGTTTTTTTAAATTTTGTCTAAAATTGTGTCATGGCTATTTGTGCATGTGGTACTAGGAAACGAATGTAGGGCTTCACACAGGTGAGGCAAGCACCCTACCACTGAGCTACATCCCTAGTTCTTTCTATTTTGAGACAAAGTCTCTCTAAGTTGCCCCCACTGGCCTCAAACTTGCAATCCTCCTGCCTCAATTTCTCAAGTAGCTAGGATTATAAGCATATAATCCTGGCCAGCTATTTTTTTTTAATTTGTATTACTCTGGTTTATCATTTAGAAGCTTTAATAATCAACATGATAAATAAATTTTCAGGTAATAAATAATAGGTTATAAATTTTTACCCTCTATTTAAATGAAATCTACTGAGATTACCTTAAGAAAATTAAACTACTATTTGGACTTAAGCCAGTTAGTGTTTAAAGCAGTGCACAAAAGTTACTGTTTGTCTTATGAGAATTGAAGGCTTTGAAAATGATATTAATGTCAAAGAAAGGTTTAACAATTTTTTATTCTTTTCAAGAAAGGTTGGATAAAAATCCATTTTTTATTTTAAATGGGAATAAACTACTCTTGGTCATACCATATTCACATATTATACTTCATCTCATTAGCTTAACAGTAGTAGTGTTTAGCATGTGTGTTTGTCAAAACTCATAAAGCTGCACACTAAAAAAGATGCCTTTTATATATGTAAGGGACACCTTAATAAATCTTTTTTAAAAAGATCACAATAAGCTAGATGCTATGGTACAAGCCTGGAATCCAGGTGATTTGGGAGGCTGAGGCAGGAGGATCCCAAGTTTAAGACTAATCTCAGCAACTCAGTGAGGCCCTCAGCAACTAAGTGAAATCCTGTCTCAAAATAAAAAAATAAAAAGGGCTGAGGATGTGGCTCACTGGTAAAGTACCCCTGTGTTAAATCCTCAGTACCAAAAAAAAAAAAAAAAAAAAAAAAAAAGGTACAACAAACTTACAATTATATAAATTACATAAAATAAAGGTAATAAAAATGTTATAATTCTTAGAAGCACCCTGCCATGATAATGTAGACACAACAGCCTTATCACGAATGAAATCTTGGATGTCCACAGTATAACAACTTTTTTCCCATTCTACAATTAAGTTAAAGGTTAAATTGTCCTTCAATGACATTTTCAATTTTATAATGACACAGGCCCTGGAAAATATGATCGCAAATCAAATATAGCCAATTGAACTATATGTACTCTTTCTTACTTTGAGGAAAATAATTCAGGGAATAGAAGGGTTTAGTGAGCTTTCTGTATCTCTGAAATAAAATACCAAAATGCTATATCAGAATACAAAAATCTAATTACTTTGGGCTTAATCTTTCATAGCAAATAGACTTAATTTACAGAGTTTCTTTTCAACTCAGCAACCTGAACCCCATAAAGACCTTAATCTGTCCATTTCATGACTTACATCACCTGCTTCAAGGATCTTGTCTGCTACAGAAGTATAGCTAGTGAACAAATAACCAAACCAGAAATTTATAGAACTGGAATCTATTTCAATTACAGCATGTGGTTTGAAAAGGAAATAAAAAATACAGAAAAATTTTAGCAAATTTATTTACCTCATCATCTCAGCAATCTTGAAATTTCCTACAAATATGACAAGTAAAATATAGCTCTTTCTTCATAAGGACAAGCAGATTGGAAATAATTACCTTGTACCAAAGAAACACTAACAATAACATTTTATAGTGACTGTAATTTTTCCAATAATCCTATGGTGTAGGACTGTTAGCACCATTTAGAGGTGATAATGAAAATACAGTAGCCGCCACTACCCCAGCAAATGAAAAGTATCATGCCAAATGCGTTGTATGTGGTGCCTTAATTTTCATTGTAACCCTATGAATTAGGCATTGTCAACATCTGCTTTTATAAAGAATTAAGTACAGTCACTTAACTACTGATTGGCAGATGTTAGACTCAAAAGCGCAGGTATCTTGTTTGTCTAAGCCTATACTGTTTATATTTCAAACGTCTTCTACCAAAGAGTATTTAAATTACTGGAATATGACTTTAATTATGAAGTTTTCTGGATGATATGTATATTATATTTAATTATACCATAAAGCATAGAGTCTTTTAAAAAAATGCATCACAACAGTACAGTGTTATTTCTACACTTCCAAAAATGAACTAGTTCATCAGAAGTAAAAACTGTGCACTGTATAAGAACAGAAGAAAGTATAGAAGTGGAAGAGGCAAATAATTTACTCAGGGTGCTTGACTAGGGTATTTTACAACCTTGTCAAGATCTTCCACAAATAAAAAGGACTTGCTATGTATTCTTTATTTCCCTGTTAAGGGCAACTGTTTAGTATCTATTCCTCCAGGTCCAGGTTTCACAATCATATATGATTATTTAAAGAACAGCTAGATACATAAAGAAAAGAATTAACATAGCAAACAGTTACTCTAGAAAGCCTACTTACAATGTTGGTCCATGGGAACCTGGATTTCAGCAGGATTCCCATCATGCCCTGTTAAGAAGATCACTGTGCCTAAACCGTCCATGCAAACAATATGGTTTGTGCTGAACACTTGCTTTCTTCCTGGAGTCTGTAGTTTTGGTTCAGGCTAACCCCAATAAGTGTCTTGTGCACTGAATCTCTACAGTGCTTCCCCAATAGACAATATTTTTCATTTCACAGGTGTGAAAGAATGTTGAGAGAATCAAGTACATATTTGACTCTGCTGGGAGAGGACTCTTAGAAGTTTGGTTTCCTCTGGAATTTACCTGTGTGCTTTTACCCTTTGCTGATTTTGTTCTTGTGTTTTCTTGTTGTAATGACTCAGAATACAACTGTGAGTACAGCTATATGCTGAGTCCTGTGGGTCTTCCTAGCCAATCACTAAACATGGGATGTTTTGAGGATCCCTGACACAAATAGTAAGATTCTTTCACAATAAACCGATAGCTACCGCTAACAGAATGGCCATGGTAATTTGCTTAAGATTGGCAAACCTGGAGATGTTTTACCCGCCACTAACTAGTACAAAAGTAAGTTCCAAACACCTGACCTTGAATTATATAATGTACATTTTTTGTACCCACCAGGCACTCTAGCAGGAAAAGAATCAGGAGACCCTGCTCCAGCACCACCTTCTTCTTCATCTTCTTCAAATTCCAAATGCTCTTCCTCACCAGGGGCTAAAATTCTCCTATATAAAAAAGGACAGAAAAATTAGTGAGCTACTCCACTTAATACACCAGTTAACCCTCATAGCCACTAACTTCCCAGATAAGATGCTGATTATTAGGTTAATGTTGATATAAATGTCAATCATCTCATTGCTACCAATGGTATCAGTCATATCACCAATACCAAATTTGATAGGGAAAAAAATCCAGAAATATTTGAAAAACAGGCATAAAATAGATAATAAAATCAGAAGACAAAATATGGATGCTTATTTATTTACCTTAATGGGACAGGCTGAACATCAAATGGAAATTCTTTATTATATGTGAGAATATTCTTTAGGACTAGAATAAAGACATAGACAAACATTAGTCTTATATCTTATATCTTAGTTTTACATGTTATATAAGTCTTATATATTAGTCTTATATGTTATATCGTAAATTGATACTTTTAATCATATTTTATAGTGTATTAACTACACATTAATATATGTACTTTAAATTCCGAGCTTCACTATCATTTCAAGACTCTGCAATTGACTACTGAGTGTCTTAGCAAAATAAAAATGTCCATAGTGGACTGCAGGTACCAGTATTTTCAGAGCACTGTAAGATCTCCAAGGAAAGTCTCAGAGCCCTCATAGAAAATGAACCATAAAATAGTTCTCCAATATACAAGGTCCTAGACGATATGGGGTACCAGTGAAAGAGAATACCTCTTCTCCTGAAGTATTTTAATTAAAAGATTGATACTGAAGATGACTAATTAAAGAGAAATAGATAATCACATCTTATTCTTTATCCTAAGTAGATTTCCCTCAATACTTATCACACTGGTAAGGTTTGTAGCAGCAAGGTTATAATTCTAACATTCCTTTTATGATGAAATTTATTGTATATGTGTGTGTGTGTGTGTGTGTGTATATATATATATATGTATATATATATATATATATGTGTGTGTGTATATATATATATATATATATATATATATTTTTTTTTTTTTTTTACACATGTGTACACACACATACACATACACAGCAGACTTTCTCCTCAGGGAAGTCATCAAACAACATAATGCTATCACCTCTTGTGTCCTGGTTGATTACTTTCTGGCATGTAAGCCTACAGACAGATGTTCTACAATTCTATCTGTATCTGGAAAAGTATTTTATGAAATTTATTGTTTAATTTCCCAATTTATGGGTTCCTAGTGACTACCTGCAATTATTTCAAGGTGAATATTTAATATTATTAATTGGGCAACCCATGGTTTTTACTCTAATTACTCAGACTTTAATTTTGGAGTCTTGCAGATTTGAGTTAAAAGGAGTATGGCATATTGGATTCCTAAATAAGGAAATTCAAAAAGAACAGGTTGTAATTACATAACTTATTCCAATAGGAGTCAATCATCCAGTGAGAAAGAAGTTGGAAACTTGTACCTAGATTCTCATTACTCACTCTTATTCTCTCTCCCTTTAGCTCTTCCTCATCCTTTATCTCTTTCTTCTTCTCAACAAATGCATACCGAGTACTCACAATGTTCCAATCACTGTTTTAGGTGCTAAAGATACACAGTAATCAAGAACTCATATTTGGACCTTAGACCTTACTAAGGAAAAGTAGACAATAAATATGCCAACAAATAAACAAGATAATGTAAGATGTGATTAGTGGTATGAAGGATACAAACAGGATGCTGTGTAAAAGCAGAGGTAACTTGGTAGAGTAGCTAAGGTAGACAGGGTGCCTTTCAAAACTAAACTGTAAGAAGACATTTGAGCCAAGACCTGAGTTGAAAGGAATCATCCACAAGTGGCTCTAGCATAAGGACTTCCCAGGTATTAGAGAACAGGCTGGAGCAACAACAAAGGTTCCAAGTAGGAAACAGTTTGCCTTATTCAAGGCACAGAAAGGACTGTGGGAACTTAAGTCTGACAAGCAAAGGGGAAGCAGCAGGAGATCAAAGTAGAAGGTTTAAATCAAAACCTAGCCCTACAATTATAACAATAACTTGAACATTTACATAAATACTCTAATCTCCCCAGTTCTAAAATGAGAATGCTACTTCCTTTACAGGCTATTGAGAGAATTACAGCCTAAATAAATGTATACAAAATGGCAAGGGAAAATCTAAAATGGACATTCACTCTCTCCATGACCTTCTTGATCTAGTTGACTAGAATCCTAATATTTCTTATCTCACTAAGAAGTACTGTTTATTTTTTAATACAAGAACATCTTTTCTATACTTCTACATGATCATTGTTACTAAACTATTAAATCAACTCAATATTAATAAGTAATATTAATAAATATTGATCACTTACACAACAATGGAATAGATACCAAGAATGGGGAGCAGATAACGAAAAGATCATGTCTCACTCATATCAGAAACAAAAACACAGAAATGATCATATTGTAATAAGAGTTCAATGAAATGGGCAAAAAAAATCAACCATTAAAAATGTATATAACAATAATTTTTAAAAGTTGATCCTGTTATAGTGGCATGTGTCTGTAATCCCAGGTACCAAAAGCCTGAGTCAGGAGGACTAGAAGTTCATCTGCCTAAGCAACGTAGGGAGACCCTGTCTCAAAATAAAAATAAAACAATAAAAGGGCTGGGGTTGTAGTTCAGTGGTAGAGTGCTTGCCTTGCACATGTGGCACTGGGTTCGATCCTTAGCACTACATGAAATGAATAAATAAAATAAAGGTATTGTGTCCATCTACAACTAAAAAAGTTTTAAAAAATAGAAATAAAAAGGACTGGAAATATAGCTCAGTGGTAGAGCACCCCTGGGTTCAATCCCCAGTACGTCAAAACCAAACAAACAAAAAAGTTGAAAAATATCTTGGTTATTAAGAATATCTTGGCTGAGTGTGGTAGTAGTGCACACCTGTAATCCCAGAGGCTTAGGAGGATTAAGAATTCAAAGCCAGCCTCAGCAAAAGTGAGGCATAAGCAACTCAGTGAGACCCTGTCTCTAAATAAAATACAAAATAGGGCTGGGGATGTGGCTCAGTGGTTATCTTGCATTTGTATTGTAACAGAATAATTAAATAGTATTTTCTTTTCTTTGGTATCAAAGCTCTAAAGAGGAAGTATTTGCTTTAGAATAATAGCTTTGTTATATTATTTTTACAAGTTAAAGTATTATCAAACATTTAATTTATGTGAATAGCTTTAGAACTAAAAAAACAAATTGTGTTTTACTTTCTATAACTGTAGTATAGGTTTACATTTTCAACAACTATGGAATAACAGATTCTATTGTTCTTTTAAAATAGCTTAAACTTTACATAGAGTTTTCTTTCTACCAATACTAGCAATGATGTCTCAGGAGGATCTGAAGAGGAGCTTGAATTTTACAAAAGATATTATCATAAGTATGAAGCATGTCATGGGTTGGAGATTCATTGGCTGATTTGGTAGGACTTACACACTTTGGATCACTACATGGCAGACATCTGATGCTACTCCACCATGGAAAATTCAGCACTCCCAGCCTTTCTCTTGGAGCACGGACCTACCCTTTTGAAGCTAACCCTCAAAATGACACACAGGCAAATATCAAAATGCATTCTGCTTTTGTGACTGACGTGTTTCATTTTTGTGGTAGAAAAATGGGCAGCTGCCTCAATTTTGAAAGGTTATTTTTTAAATTATAGGAAAAGATTCCTTCAAAACATTCAAATCTATTTAAGTCAACACAATCTTGCCAAGTTCATACTACATTTAAAGCATTCAATAGGCTCTGGGGTGGGGGAAGAGTCCATTCATAATCTTTTTGAGGACTGAAACAAATACAAGTGAAAATAACACATGTGAGAGTCTGACAATGGATAGTTAAAATGATCCTATACAGGAGAGGAGGCAGAGTTTAATTATGCCTCTATAGAGACAGCAGAGAAAGCTTTCAGGGAGAGGTGGGATTTCTGTGAAGCCCTGAAGGGTGGCTTAATAGAAGGGAATTTTGCAGGGTGATGGTGGGGAGATATGCTTGAGTAAGCAGCAGTACATTACTGCAATTAACATAAGAAAAAATGGCTCAGACTTTCACAATCATAGTTTTAGTATTTTCAGACAGAATATAAAAGATTTCAAAATGTTGAAGTAAAGAATACATAAGCCTAATAAACCAGCCAAGAGCTAGGGATGTAGCTCAGTGGCAGAGCATTTGCCTTATATGGGCAATGCCCTGGGTTCGATCCCCAGCACCCCACACGCACAAAATTAAATTTAAAAAAACTTTTAAAAGAAAGGAAACCAGTTAAGTTCAACATATTAAAAGTTAGAATTCACTATTTTTCCTTAGAAGAGGCTTAACTTTTTAAAAAGCAAGCTTGAATAAGTATACTTAATCTGAAATATTACTAAATACCAATTTGTAGAAAATATTTAATTCCAACTCAATAATTAACTCACAACAAGTGCCCTGCTTGGATAAATTCCAAATTACAGAGTCTACCCTACTGAAATACAGAATACTTATTTATGTTTCTTTGAGAAGCAACAGCAAATTAAAATCATCTAAAAAGATAACTATCAAGAAGGGAAAAGTACAAATGAAAAACATTAAATAAAGTATAATAAAGTGAATCTCCAAAATACTCTTTCCATTTCTATTCAAAATCTTTTTTAAAAAGCAAAAAAGTAATAGATTTTAACCTGATCTTCGACTAATATATGGGTCAATAATTTCTTAGGAATTTGAACTGGAGAGCTGTACTTAGGAATGATGTAGTACAGCACCACTACAGGTATTAATAACAGCATAGTGAAAGAACCGGTCCAGGTGACCCTAAAACTCATTCCTGGGATTTACAAGCTAGTGTCGGTGTTGTCCTTAGCAAAATGTAACTGAGAGGATTTGAGTGCTTAGCATATAGATGCTATTCTAAAAAAAAAAAAGGGCAATTAATGAAAGATCTTGTGAGGCAATAGAAGTACTTGAGCATGCTCAGAGGAAGAGAAGAGATAATAAATATATGAAATAAACATCCACAGTCTTTACAGCCACTCTGTGTATCTATAAGATTCTTAAATTTTGTTTGGAAACAAACAACTAATAGGAAATAGTGACTGAATAAGAAGCCAAAATCCTAATTATTTTTATCATAAAAAACTGAGGGCTGGTGACGTAGTTTACTGGTAAAGCACTTGTCTAACATGCCCAAAGCCCTTGGTTCAGTCCCCAGCATCATCTCTCTCTCTCTCTCTCTCTCTCTCTCTCTCTCTCTCACACACACACACACACACACACACACACTCACACACAAACATAATTTTCAGTAGAACCACCGTATAAACAACTGTTGCAATCTTTTATTTAAAGCCATCAATGTGTTTTTCTCAAAATAATCTTATATATAGCCAGTCATAAAAGATCATATATCATATGAGTCCATTTAAATAAAATGTCTACAATAGGACAATTTATAGACAGAAATCAAACTAATGGTTTCCTAGGGCTGGGAATTGGAAGGGATTTTAGGGGGATGGCAAGAAGTGAATGACTGCTCATGGGAATAGGGTTTCTTCTTGTGGTGATGAAAATGTCCTAAAATTGATTGTGGTGATGTCTGCATAACTCTTCCAATTTACTAAAAAAATTGAATATGATACGTTAAATTGGTGAATTGTGCTTTATATAAATTATATCTCAATCTTATACAAACTATTTATTAATGCTTTTGAAAAATAAAGTTTTAGGTACAAAAAAACCCAAAAATTTGTGAGAAATATTACATTGATTAGTATCCTTATATACATTGGATATAGGCATAAGAACTATTTCTGAATATAAGTTGTGTCTCTTATAACATCTCCAACTCTTATGATCTAGGGCTGGAGATGTAGCTCAGTGGTAAAACGCTTGCCTAGCATGTGTGAGGTCATGGGTTTGATCCCCAGAACCACAAAGAAAAAAAAAAAACTTTATGATCTGGATTACATAAAGTAACCAAAACTATTAAAATGACAGAGTTCATCAGAATTCTTGCCATATTCAGAAGGATGGTGTTCTGAAGAAATGAAATATGATCATCTAAAACTGTGGAAAAGCCACCAGAATCACAACAAATCTGCTATGCATTCCTTTGTTGTTGTCTGTTGTTGTTAACTTCTCTTTTCCAACCCAAACAACAGAAAATCAGATCCCCTTCAGTATACTCTGAGAATCCTTTTTCTACCCTGGATCTGCAATACAATCACATTTCAGCTATCTCAATAATATATGTCTTTGTTAGAATTGCTATAAATGAATTAGATATTGGCAGTTTGTGAAATTTATAGGAACATTCTATTTAGTTCTTTTTTGGCAGGGGGTACTGGGATTGAACTCAGGGGCACTTGACCACTGAGCCACATCCCCAGCCCTATTTCGTATTTTATTTAGAGACAGGGTCTCACTAAGTTGTTTAGTGCCTTGCTTTGCTAGGGCTGGCTTTGAATTTGATATCCTTCTGCCTCAGCCTCCCGAGCGGCTGGGATTACAGGCATGCGCCACTGTGCAAGGCTCTCTTTAGTTCTTAAATTAATTTTTTACCTCTTACTCAAAGCATGTTTACATTAAAAGGATTGCACTAGTGTGAACTGAGATAGACTGACAAATGTTCTGAGATTTAGGCCCTGCTCAGTTACTGGCGATTGAAGTGAAACAGGACAAACAAATCATTTCATTTCTTTCCTCAATAGAGAATGTGACCACAAGTCTGAGACTCCTTTCTGTTTGAAAATGCTTTGATTTTATGATTCCCTACTTAAAAATCTTACTTAGTTGGATAAATAAAATCTACTATTCCCTAGTCACATAAATGCACTGAGATGTGCAATCTTATCTCAATAAAAAAAGAGTACAGGAGCTGGGTTATAGTTCAGTTGGTAGAGCATTTGCCTTGCATGTATGAGGCATTGGATTCGATCCTCAACACCACATAAAAACAAATAAATAAAATAAAGGTATTGTATCTGTTTACAACTAAAAAAATTTTTTAAAAAGGCTACATTAACTTACATTCATTCAGTTATTCACACTGTGCCTTTGCCCATACTGCAGACAGTTCTAAGAGAGCAATAATTTGAAACAGTAGAAGGCTTTATTTGGGAATATCCTAACCAACAAGATAACTGAAGGAATTTTTTACTTTTTAAAAGTTTTGAAGAAGGGAAAAAAATGGAGACAACAAAAAAACACTTTGTAATGCATTCCCAACATTCAGACTGTAGTTTTCAATAACATGTAATGTGAATGGGCATTAATGACTGTAACCTTATATTCTCTACTGGACTCTACTGAAAATGTTTATCAAAATAATTATAATCTTATTAAAGCCATTAAGACAAATTAAAGGTTAATTTGGATATTTAGATGAAGTACAACATATATATTCTATAATAAAGATTAAATCCAAATGGTAATTAAAAATGCAAATATTGTAGGAATTTTAAAAGCACCAAAAAATAAGAGAAATAAATCCAATCACTTTCTGTGCTAAACAATCTTAATATTCACAACAGATAAAACTCTCTTCCTAAAGGAATATCACTAAAAAATATAAAACAAAACTTACTTGGTTCTAGCTTCTTCAGGTCCTCCAGTTTAAATTCTTCCTGGGACTGTGTGGACTAAATTTAAAATATGCATATTATATCTTTTCATTACAAAGATTTCACTGCACCCTATGTCTTTTAAGTGGCAAGAATCAAATATTTAAAATAAATATATTTCTTGCTTTAAAGGTAGAAAATGAAAAGTTCCAAACTGAATTTTGGAATATTCAAGCTAATAGAAACAGAAAAAATTAAAATCATATCTTTTATTTCTACAGTGTACAAAGTATGAACTAAATCATTTAAGTGTGAGTTCAACTGATCAATTCCAATTGTTATAAAACCCTTCTGAGATAATATTGCTTTGGGCATGAATGTCTAATATCTTATCAGAACAATTTAGAATAATTCATTAAAAAAAATCCATTTACCTGTAAAGCTGCGCTTCGCAATTCCAAGCATGTTGCAATTTTGCCTATGGTTTTCTGTAGGGAAAAAAAAAATGCTATAAATCCCAAGATAATTTTAATTGTCAGTTACTAAAATCAAGAATTTTTATTTATAACAGATCTATAGGGACTGGGATTTTAGCTCAGTGGCTGAACACTTGCCTCACATGTGTGAGGCACTGGGCTCGATCCTCAGTACTACATAAAAAAATAAAACAAAACAAAATATAGTGTCCATCTACAATTTAAAACATTTACAAAAGAGATCTATACTTCTTTAAATAAATTATTATTCCTTTTCTAGCACCTTGCAGATTTTAGAGAAGAGAATCAGAAGACAAAGGGCTGAGAAGTGGGAGAGAGATGAGTATATATTCTCTTCTAAACTAATATGCCACAACCAATTCTACATCAAGTTTGGTTTGGTGATAGGTCTAGATATGATTTAAAGGGCAACAAAGATAACCATTATGGAAAGCAGGGTGGAGGTTCCTCAAAAGATTAAAAATTGAACTACGATATGATCCAACAATTCCACTCCAGGATATATGGCCAAAGGAAAGGAAATCAATAAGCTGCAGAGACACCTGCACTCCCATATTCATAGCAGCACTATTCCTATTAGCCAAGAAATGGAAACCTAAGAGTCCATCAACTGATAAATGGATTAAAAAAAAAGTGTTATATATACATAATGGAATACTATTCAGTCATAAAAATAAAGAAATCCTATCCTTTGCAACAACATGATGGAACAAGATCATTATATTAATGAAGTAAGCCAGGCACAGAGACAAGACCCACAAAATCTTATTCATGTGGAATACAAAAAAGTTGATTTCATAGAAGTTGAAAGTAGAATGGTAGTTACCAGGGGTTGGAGCCAGTAGGGGTGGGTGGGGGGATAAATAAATGCATCCTACATTTCAAAAGAAAAAAGAAAAAATTTTGAAAGTTTTTAAACATAAGAAATGATAAGTGAGTAGAAAATGTTAACTGGATTTAAATATAACACAATATATACATGTATCAAAACATGTTACCCCATTTATATGTACTATCTTTGTTATCTGTAAGTTAAAATATTGACTTTATTTATTTTAAAAAATAGCTTTTTTTTAGTTGTAGATGGACATAATACCTTTATTTTATTAATTTGTTTTTATGTGGTGCTGAGGATTGAACCCCAGTGCCTCACACATGCTGGGCAAGCAAGCACTCTACCACTGAGCTACAACTCTAGCCCCAAAATACTAACTTTAAAAAAGAAAACAGAAAATTAAAAAGGGGGAGGGCAATGAAAAGGGATTTTTGACATCTTCCCTTCCAACCATCTTCTCATAAAGCCTGAAATTTACTAAAAGATATCTGAAAGATAGCACAATGGTCTAATTTAATTCTGATTTAAGCTCAATTCTGACTTGTTTAAAAAAGTAGGCAATATTAACAAAATCAGTATTTGTGATGAATGGTGCAAATTTTACAGTCAATCTGTTTTTTAAAATAAGCTATAAAACAGATGTGATAGGGCACAGTCCTTGCTTTTAATATGCTCATGTTCTATTATATGTGATAAAACATATACAAAATCACTATATTAAAAAGAGAGACACTCAATCTATAAGCTTCAGCAAAATAAGTTCCTTTTATGTCCTAAAGGAAAAGAACAAGATCTATATTAGGAATCCAGTCCCAAAGACTAGGGAGGATTTCCAAATCAAAGAGTTTGGAAAATTGTCATGGTTCAATTACTTAAAATCCCCAACTGAAAGCAGAGGGGTAGGTTTGAAAAGTAAAGTGAAGTAGGGCATAGTCATTCTGAAATGGACCTTCCACAAACTCCTTGCTGAGGAATCTAGGATTTCTTTAACAATAAGTTACACAGAAGTGTGTTTTTATTGTTCTTTTTTTTTTAACAGACATGCCCTTAAGAACACTGTTGTGAGCTGGACATAGTTATGTGTACCACCTACTGGGAAGGCTAAGGCAGGAGCCTAAGAGTTTAAGGCCTGTGTGGGCAACACAGTGAGACTCTTTCTAAAAAACAAACAAAAAACCCCTTGACTGTTGTGATACAGGTATGCAATGCATACATAATTTAAAGGAAAGGGGAAAAACTGAAGGAAAAATCATTTAAGTTATTTCAAACTGTCTAAACAATATTCAGAATAAGAATATGAATAGCTAAGGTGGAAATGAAAAGGGGAGATTCATGAGATTCATAAAAGAAATTATCAGGGCAGGCAGCTGAACAATGCCACTGAGACTTCTAGGTCCTTCCAAAAAAGATATTTCTGAAATGTCTTTAGGAATAAGTCTAGATCATAAAAGCAAAGAACTGTGTACATCATTTACAATGCTTACAAAATGACATATTTTGGGAAAAAAACTGACATGTTTTTCTGAATGTATTTTATGTATGACTTACAAAAAGTTTAGTAAATTGGGGATTTGGTGATTTTGTGTTTGGTTAATGTTCTTTGAAAGGTAAAAGAGGAGTAAAGGGAAGTAACAGTATTGTCCTGGCCCCTGGTGCTTAGGCTAGTGGACACTCTTCAATTACTGTATCTTCAACAAACAGCTAGGATAGCAACTCACAAAAAAAACTATTATTGAGCAAGATATGCCTCTCAGACACACAAGTAATAATATTTAATTATCTCCATAATCTTTTTAAAATTTCAATATAAAAGCTTAGAAAATATGCAATTTTAATCTGAAAAGAGATTACATTTGAAAATTATGCTTATACATAGTTTGCAAAATACTCAGGTTTATTCATCCTCTTAAATAGCTATGTATAGAAACCAGCAGTAAGCAATCTTTTCTACATAAAGTCTAATATCCCCAATCATTGTTGTTCAAATATACCACTCAACTCCAGCAAAACTAGTAAATAATTAAGTATAAATATAATAATCAAATAATTTATTAATAACAAACACTATTAATTATTAACCACTTATTAATAACTAATGAGCACTTACTGATAGGCTCTCCTAAGTGATTTATAAACATTAATTTAATTAATCCTCCCCACAACTCTGAGTTAGCTATGATCATTTTACAGGTGTGAAAACTGAAGTATGGACAGGTTAAGTAATTTGTCCCAGTCATCAATGCCTTCTATACAACACACAAGATATTCAATAAAACCACACACTTCCATCAATTCCATTTAGCTATGACTTACTATATTCTTTCAAAACTGATCTTATAAAAGAATTTTGCTTGTATTGAGATGTATCAATGAGCTAATCTTCAAAATAGTAGTTAGCTTTTTTTTCCTTCTTGACTTTAAAATCCATTTTATTTCACACTTCAAACATTTAAGATAAAAATGTTATAGCTGAACAATAAGAGACCACTAACAAACTATTCTCACTTAAACATTTCTTCAAGTTAAGCAAAGGCAATAGCTTTTTATACAGAAATGTACTGAACTATGGCAAAATACCACCGGCCTTATTCATAACTATTTTAAGGGACCACACCCAGCTTCAGTATTAAAAAAGAAGTGAAACACTATTATTTCAGCTGTGGCAATAACTTTTAAAAAATGTAGAATTTATTGATGTCAAAATCAAGTGCTTGCTACTGAAACAGTGTCACCTTCCTTAAAATGAACAGTTCAGAAAAGTGATAAAGAAGCACAAGTTCACATATGCCAGAGTATAAGTATTGACTACTTTAATTAATGTACATTAAACCAAGCACTGAAGTGATGTTTGATTTTTAGAAAGACTTAAATCACTAGCATTTTATTCAAATTAATTGCTCATACCTAATATGATAAGAAACAGAAAACAGTATCATTTTTAGAGTATTAGCTACTTTAGTTTATCATTGCTAAGAAAATTGAGAGCTCTAAAGATCAGTTAAAGGAAAACATGGAATAAAAATGGACAATTAATGAGCTAAATTAATTTTGCTAAAATGTATTCAATTTATATAATGAATAAAATCAGTTTAAAAATAAACATAATTCAGTACAGTCTTACTTAATCCAGACTTAACTTTTAAATATTTAAGCAGCCACTCATCTTCCATCTAGCTGTTGGGGGAGAGAAAACACTGGGGTAGAGAGAAAGTGGAAGTAGAAAAGTGGAATCGATAAAACATAAAACAAGTATATAGTGCTGGGATTCTCATTACCACCAAGTTTGACTCAAAACAGGGAAAAACTTTCTAAGTGTCATGAGACAGGATGTTCTATTTTGTCCAGAAACTTACATGAGAAAATCTACTACACCAAAGTAGGGAATTCCATGGAATGAAAGCTTTTGGCAGCTTTTTGTTGGCCACTAAACCCAGTTGTTATAATGACAAAACTATTGAAAACTGAAATGAAAGCTAAGTGAACTAATCGTGAGGGAGGATCAAATAAGAATCATAAACTCTTGTTTTAACTAGAAATCTTTGAGAATATTAAAAATAGGAAATAAATGTGAAGTTTTTATTCTATCACCAATTAATATGGTTTAGACAGATTAGTAGTTCTGCTTTAGAATTCTTTAGATATAAAATAAACATTGGAAAAATATGTTATTCTCTTAAAAATTAGGATTTATTTTAATATAAAATAAATATCAATAATCTAAGATCCAATAAAACATTTATTCATCAAATATATTTGAGAGCTCACTGTGAACTAGACAGCAAAAAGTTTCATAAAGAAAGCACTTTAGTAATAAGATTGGTTTTTAAAAACCAAAAACATTTTTCAAAGTTCCACTAACTACTGAATGGTTGGCATAATTATATAACTTGTCACTGCTATCAATACATGAAATAGTATAAGCATAAGAAATATAATTCAAAATAAAACAACATTTTTGCAAAGAATAAGGTTAAAAGCATTTTCTATTTTCCTTTTTGGAGAAAAATATAATTCAGTTTTCTCTCCAGCTTATGTACAGGCATAGTATTTAATGCAGATCTAACAGTATGTGTCAAAATTTCCTGTATTATGTTCTTTAGAACACTAGATCCAATGAAATATTCTGTAAAGAAAGGAGGGGAGCTTTTCAAAAGCAAATAATTTTTAAAATACTGCACAACCAAACTCTTTAAAATATCCAACATACACATTAGAATATTAAAAGTCCAGAGAAGTCACAAACTGTGTGCAAGTAATGCCTATTGGGCTGGGGATGTAGCTTACTGATATACAGAGTGCTTGTTTGCCTAGCATGAGGACCTGGGTTCCATTCTTAGCACAACACACAGACACACAGACACACAGACACACACAGACACAATCTATTAATTTTTAAGAGCCAGTGTTTCCCAGAACATGTCTTGAAGACCTCTCTTTTCTAATCATTATTAACTGAAGACTTTGATAATTTTTTTCTTATGGAACAATCATATAAGGCCTATACATCAATATGAGTGTTTCTGTCTGTTGTGAATATTTCACTTGCATTTTCACAGAAATTTAAACCTTTAAATGCATATAACTTGCCTTATATAGTAGAACAGAATGACTTGGGGTTCTTCTCCAAGACCAAGGAATAGACAGGCAGACAGAAGCTCTGTCTGTAGTTACACCTGGCAGCCAGAAATGCCTCCTGGGCAGGTATTATAAATAATATGTTCCTCAGAAATCAGGCTTCCAGGAAAGGAGGAGGTACAGACCACTTCACAGGTAGAGGTCACTGGAGTTTTAGGAAGGAAAGACCTTTTAAAGTCACTTAAGAGTTCTCTAATCTCTCATTTCTTATATAAGGAAAATCAGGCCCAGAGCCAAAGCCAGGATGCAAGACTTAAGTCTTCTGACTCTAGGTCTCAGCTCTCTCCTTTAGGTCCTGCAGTCTCCTGGATCTTTTGGAGTACAAGATCTGGGGGTCTTTATAACCAAAGACAAGCTGAACAGCTATAAATTAAAGAATCAATAGCATTATCAACACCAACTCTAGTCTCAGAATACTAAAGAAAATCAAGAAAAAGTTAATTTTTTCCTCATCACTTAACAAGGTTCATTTTTTGATATTAACCTGTTTGTTTTGTAATTTTAGAATGTTTTAGGAAGTCAAAAGACTTTAATCTCAGGCCATGTGGCTCACAGGTTCTACTCCTGAGCAACAAATGCTGGAGAAATCTAACTAACTGAAGGCAAACAGGTGACTAAAATATGGGATCATTGAAACTTTGTTACATTTTTTTATTTTGTCTTCATATTCATAACATACTTCATTAACTATTAATTTATGTACCTGGATATCTAAGATTCTATTCATCAAGATTTAGATATTTTAAGTCTTAATTCAATGATGCCAGCTGATCACTTCCTAATCAGCTCCTAGACAGATTTCACAAATCTTACAGAAGTGGTATAGTGTATAGTCTTTGTTCCTTTCCTTAAGCATATCAGCTATTTCCTTTGTGATAATTATTTTCCAGGACTAAGATCCTAAGTCTCTTAAATCTATTGTGGATATTAGCACTTATTAAGGAAAAAAGAAAAACACCCTTTTAAATTGCAGTAACATAATTTTTTTTGAAGTAGATTTTAAATATTTTAAAAATACAAATATACGTGGGCAAGAAATACAGCTAACCCTCTGGGGGCTTTTTCTCCCCAAACTCCTGTAACTAAGAATCAATAAAAACAGGCCTATGGACTAAAAACTTGCTTAGGTTTAATTAAAACAGTTATGCAAAAAATTACTCCCATTTCCCCTTGTGAAAAAAAAGAAAAGTATTAATAAGAGTGAATTAGGTCACTAGGGTTTTCACACTACCTTTTCTTAAGAGATGAGGAAAAGACTAACACATATTTTTCACTATCTACAAGATTAAAAATTGACTTAACACTAGTTACTCTGAGCCAGGAGAAAATGGGAGTTGTTTCCTCCCATTTCTTCTCTTCTTTTAGAATAAAGTTACTTTAAAGTATCCCCTTTTACATAATCTCTATCAGGGAATCAACTTGACATACAAAAATTTTAATTCAAGGAAGAAAGAACAGTACTGAAACATTTTGCAATCTTATATATTTATTTGGCTGACAGATCTGTACGCCAACTTCTTGACTTGAGCTAATTTTTTTTCCATTTGTTTTTTGGTTTGGGGGGTTTTGTGTGTGTTTTCTGTTTTGCTTTGAGAGGTGATACATAAAGAGTTATGAAAATTCAGAGTTAAGCATTGAGGTGGAATGCACTTATTCCAAATCCTTCTGTTTTTCCAAGTGACTCGGAACAAACTCCAGTCTTTGGGTTACCAATGCTTTTGAACTAAAGTGTGGATGACTTCCATTAGAGGTAAATAAGGCCTAAATAGTTAAGTAAAGAAATTCATTAAGTGATAAGTTATATATCTGTATAAATGTTCACTTAATGTTAGGCAAAGCATAATCAATCTGATTTTATTTTTACTTAAATATAACAGTTTTTCGTTTATTTTTCTGCTTAATGGACTCAAGACCAATTTCATTTGGAATTGAATATATCTAGATATTATTTGATGGTACCTTTTGCTCTTCTGTGAATTCAGAATTGTTGTGTTGAGCTTGGGCCTCTTTTTGTAGATGTCTTGCTAATCTGTAAGAAGAAAACATTTTTTTTTTTAAACTGAAAGCAAACTATCTCAACTGCAACAAAGTAAAACAAATTAAATCTCTTAAAAACAATAAAGTGCATAATACTTTGTTCTGTTTTTGAAGTAATTCCACATTTTCAAGGCAAATCTACATTACCCTGAGAATCAAACTTTTTACAAAAAAAAAGTTTGTACAAAATAATGATGAAATAAGATACTTTTCATACCATTTCACTGGGACAAATTTCAGAATCTTAGAGCTGCAAAGAATCTCAAAAAGTACATAATTCAACTTTCTTTACTATGCACTAATTTCTTCTATAAACAACCAATAAATAGTTGTCCAGATTCTACTTTAACACTTCCAGTGAGCACCAATAATAGTATCAACCATAGATACGTTATCATTCTATCATAATTAATTTCCCAATAAGATTTGCCCAAATCCAAATTACAGCCATGACAATAACTCCATCAAAATATGCTTTTGAAACATTTTTTAATGGAAAATAAAGAAAAGCCGTCCACCAATCAAAAACGGAAAATACTGCTTGCCCAGTTATCATCATATCTAAAAATGGCAGGAGGCCTTGAGTGAGTTTTCCAGGATGAATTTATGATGCTAGTCCAAGCTCAATGGTGAAGATACAAAGCTATTTTCTGAGACAGCAAAAGGCAAAGACTTACTCTTATGAAGAAAGAGAAAAAAAAAAAAAGACCAATTTTAGACACAGTATTTGATTAGACATGTTTCTAAACAAGATATAAAAATGGCCAATAAACACATGAAAAGATATTTAGTATCATTAGACATCAGGGAAATGCATATCAGGATCATAAAATAATTACTTAGCACCCATGCAGATGGATATAATTTAAAAAAAAAAAAAGAGATGAAGAAAATAATAGGCGTAGGGAGAATACGGAAAAAACTGGAACCCTGATGCATTGCTGATGGGAATGTAAATTGGTGCCAGCCGTTGTGGAAAAGTTTAATATAGTTAAATACAGAGGAACTGTATGCTCCATCAAACTCCTAGATGGATATATCCAAAAGAACTAAAAATAAATGTTCACACAAAGCACATGTACACAAATGTTTACAGCAGCATTATTTGTAATAATCAAAAAGTCATACAACCAAAATGTCCATCAATTAATGGATGAACAAAACGTGGTACATATATTCAGTAGAATATTATTCAGTCATAAAGAGGAATGAAACTCAGATAATATGCTAGCTACAGTATGAATGAACTTCAAAAAGATTATGCTATATAAAAGAAGTCAGATGTAAATGGTCATGTTATATGATTCCATTTACATGAAATGTCCAGGAAAGGTAAATTCATAGAGAAAGAAAGCAGATGAGTGGTTGCCAGGATATGGAGAAATTTAGAATGACTGACACCAGGTATGAAGTTTCTTCTGGGAGTGGGAGAAATTTTTAGGAATTACAATAGTGATGGTTATAACACATTGTGAATACATTAAAGACCACTTCACTGTACACGTTAAAATAGTGAGTTTTATGGTATATGCTAAAAAATGCAAAAAAAAAGCTAGCAAAAGATTTTGAAAATAAGATTGCTATTCTGGTTGAGGTATGGGAGTAGGAATGGCAGCAAGTGCTAGCTAGAAAAGGCAATTAAAGAAGAGAGTTCATCACAGTTCCAAAAAACAAGTACTAGATAGGAGTTCTATTCTATGCAATCATATCCTTAAAGATCAAGTAGTATTCTCAATGGCCTCTATCCTCTTTATGAAAAGTCTGCATTCTTTATAATTAAGCAAGAAATTCTTACAAGAAATCTTAACATTTGCTAAGATAGCTCCACCATGTTACTTAGTCAAATTTTCATCCATTTACTTACTTGCTTCCAAAGTAGGAAACCACACAATATATTTTCCTAAAATGTCATTCATTGACTCATAGCCTCACATTTTTATGAATTCTTATGCAGGAGAAGGTAAAAATAAATATGGCCCATTGTCCTTTTTCTGGATTTGCTTTCTTTTTTTTAACTCTTGCTGACCTATGTGGACTCTTACAGAAATTCATGGTCTATACACCCTTAGCAATGTCAACTATACATCCCTGAGTTCAGGGAAGTTATAGTGTAATAGTTTCTTTATTTGAATATTTCTACATATAATTTGCTAAGAGTGGCTATCAACCTAAGCAGGATTCTTTCTTTTTCTTTAAATAGTTTTGTTTTGTTATTTTTTTAGTTGTAGTTGGAACCAATACCTTTTATTTTATGTATTTATTTTATGTGGTGCTGAGGATGGAACCCAGTGCCTTGCACGTGCTAGGCAAGCACTCTACCAATAAGCCCAAGCTCCAGCCCCAGCCCCTAAGCAGGATTCTTGTCAGGAAAAAAAAGTATAGCTTTCAACTCCTGTTTTTTGTTTTTTTTTTTCTTTTTTTTTAAATTGGTTGTTCAAAACATTACAAAGCTCATGACATATCATCTTCCATACATTTGATTCAAGTGGGTTATGAACTCCCATTTTTTACCTCAAATATAAGTTGCAGAATCACATCGGTTACACATCCACATTTTTACATAATACCATATTACTCCTGTTTAAATACTAAAAATCAGGGCTGGGGTTGTGGCTCAGTGGTAGAGTGCTCGCCTAGCATGCACAAGGCACTGGGTTCGATCCTCAGCACCACATAAATGTAAAATAAAGATACTGTGTTCATCTAAAACTTAAGAATAAATATTTTAAAATAAATACTAATAATCAGAATAAAGGAGACTAAATTAAAACAATCCTGTTTTCAAAAATTAGGCAACAGATTGGGAGGAAATACTATAAAAATAAAGAACTTTTATCTGTAGTACATAAAGAACACCTACAACTCAATAGGTAAGAGATAATTCAATTTAAAAATAAGTAAAAGATTTGAACAGACATTTCACAATCAAGATTTACAGAGGGAAAAATAAGCATATGAAAAGACATTCAACATTATTAGTCATTAGAAAAATGTAAATTAAACCTATAGTTAAGTATACTGATAATGGCTACAATCAAAAAGACAATAATAAATGCTGCTATACAGAGAAACAGAAAACCCCTTCATACTGCTGGTAGAGATATAAAATGGTACACCCAATTTGGAAAATTTGACAGCTACTATAAAAAGTTACATACTTAACATATGACTCAGCAATTCTACTTATAGGTATCTATTCAAGAGAAATGAAGAATATGTCCACATAAAATATTGCACATGAATGTTCAGTGCAGTTTTATTGATAATAACCAAAATTCAAATGTCAACCAACTAAGGAGTGAATAGGCACATAAAACATGATACAGTCATACAATGTAATCCTGTAAATTCACCAATAAAAGGGAATAAAATCATAATACATGCTATGACATGGAAATATGCTAACTGAAAGAAACTATATGCATAAGATCACATATTAGATGCTTCAAATCATATGAAATGTCCAGAAAAAACAAATCTATAGAGAGAAAATATAGATCAGAGGGAGTGGTTGCAAATGGGCACAAGGAATCTTTTGAATGTGATGAAAATGTTCTCAAATTTGATTGTGGTGATGACTGCATGACTTTTACTTTTAGAAATCAATAAATTATACATGTAAAACTGATGAACTTCATGGTATATAAAGCATACCTGAGTTGTTTAAAGAAAAAACTTTTTAAAGCCTCAGCAAAACGCCCCCCCCACACACCTTCAAAATCTAAATACACAAAAGATTGTATCATTTTAAGACAAAGTGAGACCTGATTTTGTCTACTGTGAGAAAATCTACATGTTCTGGATTTTAGATGAGCAAATATAAGAGTCGACATTCTACTAGTAAAGGTGAGAAACCTATCAAACATTCTTCTCTAGAGACTCCTCTCACAAGTAAAAGAGTATTATTCTCAAGGGGGAGTTTTAAATATATGTTAAATACATAAACAAGTGACAGATGGAAATCCCACATGATTCCAGACACAGAAATTAGAGCTTTTCAACCTGCAGCAAAGGATAGTTTTTCCTCTCAATTTGTCCCAAGCTAATATTTTTGTAAAACACAAAAATATGGTCAAGATGTCAAGTTGCTTTAAAGTTCCTAAATGTTAACTCTTTATTTCTTTCTTTATTTTGATGCAGACCAGCAGGTTTGTGGACTGGCCCCAATGCATGGACCACACTGTAAGCAGCAGAGACAAAGCTTTCTAAAGATGACTAAAACCAGGTATTACTCAGTCTTTAAATTCATCTACTCATTTAACAGATATTTATTGAGCATCTGTGTGTTAGAGAAATATCTCAGGAGCGATTCTGTGGAACCTCTTACTCTGGACAAGCTTCTATTCCACTACACCACAAGTTAAGAGTCATGTATGCCCAGGTAGCTGAAAGAGGTAGCCGCTGAATGGAGATATTGTTTTTAACTGGCCATGTGTATTCTGAATAACAATTTTAATTTGACATTATTTCTTTAAATCTTCTAATAGTATTTTGGCATCAGCTCATTAATGCTACAATGTACTCCTGAATCCATACATTCAATAGAATGTGAGAATTATATAATATATAAATTAAAAATTATGTCTTAGTAGTACTCTGGAACACTAAGTTTACAGAAGAGAACAGAACAGATACTGCCCCCAACCCTCAAAGAACTTATAGTCCCTTGGGGAAACAATAAGCAAAACAAATACATAAAAAATATTTTAGATGAAGTTTAGATTGTAATAAGTCCTGTAGGAAAAAATTAAGCAGGAGGGAGGTAGGAATGGTGGGAAAGGGAAGGGTCAGTGGAAAGAAACAGACTAAATTAGAAGAAAGGAAAAAAAAAAAAAAAAAAGCAGGAGCGGGGAGAGGTGCCAGAGGGGATGTGCCAGAGGATGGAGTGGGGATGGACAGGAGGCTTTGCACTTTTAGACAGGGTGGCCAGAAAGAAAGGACCTTGCTGAAAGAACATTATTTGAACACAGACCTGAAGAGGAAAAGCCCTAAGGCAGAAGTGTGCTTCAGGAAACAGCAAAAGTATGGGAACATTCACTTTTGTTCTTCACTGACTGAAGTACCTTATTGGTCTAAAATGTTCCAGTAAACTCAGCGCTTTGGGGTCAGATACCAAATTTTATTCATCTTTCTCCTCCCAATCCTCATTGTTCAATGATGAAATTGTTTAAGTTATAGTATTCTCACATTATGGCAGTAAAAACATTCTCTTCCCACCCCTAAATCATGTTGACTATAAAGACATCACTGCCTACTTAATTAGGAGTCACATTTATCCTAGACTTTCCCTCCTTCACTCTAGATATCCAGTGACTAAATCCTGTCAATGATCATTCACATCATCATTGTGGTCCTCATTGGTCTCTTTTGCTGTAGCCTTTCTTTCCAAATAGTTCTTTCAAACGCAAAATATAATTTGCCTTTATTTCTGAATATATTCGAAAATTTAAACAAACTCATTTTACACGTGGCCTGTATGTCTACAAAACTGAAGTCAATCATGACATATTTCTATTGAAATTTACACTACAGTTTTTATAATTGGAAGACTACTGCGAATCCTGGAGTTCAAAGGATAGGGCTGAGATCCAACAATAGCTTTGTATGTGCCTATTACCTTCATTCAGAAGTTTCTAGAAATTCCGACTAAACAGCTTGCATATTCGATTTTCCTTTGTAATTTCAATTAGACATGGTATTCTTCACTTTCCATTGGGAGGTCTGCTGCTCAGTGCCCACAGCTGCTAAATCCCACAGTATCACAAGTAAGAGGCAGCTTTACATTTCAGGCTATGCAATTTTCATTATCATATAGGATAAGTATACATAGATGCTAACTGGTTAGCATATGGAAGGGTATGTTCACCAATGAAAGAAATCCTGAAATTTGTCCAATTCACTTACAGAATAACTCTATCAATGCTTTATCAAAAAAGCACCTTAAGCATTTATATATTAGAGAACACCAGATTTGGAGTGAAAAAAAAATTCCAGACTTCAGTGATATCATTTTGCGATTGTGAGTAATCTGTTAACTTGAATTTCAGTTTCCTTATTTTGTAAAATGAAAATAATTATATTCACTGGACAGTTGTAAAAGCAAATGAAATCAAATGGAAGTGAAAAATAAGTGCCAAAAGTTGTTAGGCACAACCAGATATCCCAGAGCATAGTTGTTTTCAGGTACTTTTTGAAACTACAGGCAATTCAAAGTCAGAAAGATGGGGTAGAAAACATATACACATCTAAATTATGTTGGTGGTCAGATAAAAACAACTATTGTTCAGGAGAACAGAAGTTTTGGATTTTCCAAGTACCAATTTTGTATTCTCTTCAGAAGGTGTGTGTGGGGCGGGGGGTGGTGGTGAATTTTACTCCTGCATGATTTCATATTCCATGAAACCTCAAACAATAATTTGTTTTAAACCAATAAGCAAGTAATGGCAAGTTTGGAAACAATAGCATTTTAGTAGGCAGTTCTTAAGTTCAGTAATATGTTCAAGAAATTAAACAAGGTTTTTATACATACATAAATCTTGTCTTTTCATTTTAAAACCATCTTTAAAGTTTTGGGGCGAAAGCAGAAAGGGCAAAAAAAAAAAAAAATCAGTCTTAGGTTGATAAAGGAAACTGGTACCCACATGTACCCTGAGGCTATACATTATACACAGGAAAAGGAGGAGGGATCCTAGGAGGGAGGGGCAGCTCCTGTGCGTGGTCTATTAATTCACATTTTGCTCTCTTCTGTTCACATCCTGCGCGAACTCCACCCAAAGAAACCGAGCGAGGGGGTGGGTGGGACTCACAGTCCAGCAAATAACAGTCCCAGAAACCGAAACGAAATCGAGGTGGAATTGTGAAAACACGGCTCACCAGAAAGTGGGGTGGAGAAGGAGCGCAAGAGCAGACCCTTCTTTTGGCAGAAGAAGAGGCATCCCTGGCCCTCGCTGCTTCCTGGGGGTATCCAACTCCTCTCTATCAAAACCAGTTCCCTCCTCTCCTACACATAGGAGGGAGGAAGACACACACAGAGAGCAAGGCCACTCATGCCTGGAACGTGGGCGGAGAACGCACAAGTATTCCTTCGAGATTCAAAGAGAGATTGGGGGGTGGCAACCTGGGAGAGGCGGAGGAAAGGAAATTGACCGCCGAGCTGGGGGCTCCGGGAGACACTCAAAGGAGCTAAGTAGGTAGCCTGTGAGAGCCGGCGCCCCAGCTAAGGACTACTACCTGTTGAATGGAACTGGTCTCGTGGAGGTGGAGGGGAAAGAAGGGCGAGACACCCCAGGGAGCGGACCCTTCTCCTCCAGAGCAGCCTCGCGGGGCCAGTGGGATCTCAGTCCCCCGTGCAGGGGGCCCCGCCCTGGGAAGCCTTGACTGCAGACACTGTGATGAGAGACACCAACAGAAACAAGGGGGAGGCGGCCCACTGCAGCCGGTCTGGCCCGCTCCCGCGGTTAGTCACTCACATCTGATACTCGTCTATCGCCTCCACCAGCTGGCCCCAAGAGTCGAAGTCGGCGCCTCTCCTAAAACTGGCGCCCCAGCGCTGCAGCAGACTCCGGGTCACCTCCGACATGGCCGGTCCCCACCCCGTCCCCTCCCGCCCCTACCCAGCAAGGCCGGGCTCTAGGGCGCCATCCTCCCCGGGCCTGGCCCCGACATTAACAGAGCCAGGAGGAACCGCTAAGGCCACCACCGCCACCCGCCGAGGAGCCGCCCAAGCCCATTTGCCGCCACAGCCAAACTTTGCGGCTCCGAAGAGGCCGCCCCGCCAAGGCCCCGCCCCCGAGGCCCCGCCCCTGTTAGGTTGAGGCCGCCCCACTCCGCCGAGGGCCGCCATAGCTATTGCGGCATCCTTTCTCGGCTTGGGAAGCCCACCACCTCTTTCCTTCCTCTCGGGGGACGACACTGAAGCCCAAGAGGAAGGACCAGGGAGAAGTTAGAAAAGTCCAGTGAAAGGAGCGTTTTGAGGTGACTGCGACAGTGCGGCAGCCCCCGCCCATGCTCGGTGAGCACTGCCGCCTCGGTAGCTGTCATGGCCGTCAGTCACGTGACCCAGACTCGGCCCGGGCTTGGTTTCCAGTTGCTCTAGTTCAGTACTCTTGTTTCTTCGATTCCCTCCTATTCTCTCTTGCGGACTCTAGTACTGCTTTTCTTTCCTCAGGAAGAGTGTCGTACAGACTCTTGAGAACCCGGGTAAGTATGTCAGAGGACGGGCGTTCCCCACTAATATCCCTCTCTCTGTTATTTCCTGGAGTCCAAGCATTAGGATCACCCCCCTTTTACACCGGTCTCTTTAGATCCTTGGATGGTGATCTAAAAAAGCCACCTTCTAACGCCTTAAAGAGAAAGAAAACCCATATTGGTCCCGTGAATCAATGGCATTAACAGCTGGATTCGCCGAATCCCTTTGCCCCGTATCTCTATTAGCTGTTAAGAGCTTTTATAAGCGAAGTAGGATTTCTTTCGGTAGTTGTTTGCCCGCCCCTCTCGGGTTAATACTATCGGCTTTCCACCAAAATGCCTATTCTCAAAGAAAGGGGCGCGCTAGTGTTGGCGCGTGCGCAGGGGTGCTGCCCGCTGTCTGGAACGCGACGGGGCACGGGAGGAAGAGGCTGGGTGGTAAACAGGAAGTGGACTCTCAGAGCTCCGGACCCCTCTCAGGTAGGTTTCTCTGGGACCCACGTTAGTGTTGGTGGTCTTATGTGCTGCTGGGCTAGTTGACGTACTCGAATGTTGTGTTGGTGCTTTTAAAGGCACTCTTGCACCTGCGGAGGGGGCTGTCGCTTCCACCGACCCTCGGAATTCCTGAATACGGTAGAGTGCAGGGTCACCGAAAGGTTGTAACGGTGGGGGAGAGGCAGAGTACAGTACTTAAAATCAGTATTTGCAGAAAATATGCTCTCGGAGAATTAAGCCCAGAGTGTGGCCCTCTCTCTAGAGAAAGCTTGGGAGTAAGCGCACGCAGATGCTGTCTGTAGGCTGAAAAAGAGGCTTATGTGGAAGATGTTTAGATGACATTTTCTAAAAGGACTTGTTAAGTGTTTTAAGTCGTAAATGAACCTGCCCAGTTTTTCCCTGAGTGCACAAGGCATTCTGTTCACGAAATCATTCGGTGCTTCTCAAAACCAGTTTTGTCATGAATAAATATCTTAAAGGAAGTGCTTAATGTAGGTTTTTATACACTGTCAGTCGACGTATTTTTTCTAATAAGAAAATTTTGATTGGCAACCTGTGTAACAGTTTTCAAATTAAGTAAACATGGGAATTTTTTTTCAATACTGTTTCCGGGAATCTAATTGCCATATGTAAATCTTTGGCTTGACTTTCCTGTATTATTACATACACTACCTACCCGGGGACTTTTAGGTAAAAGATACAGTAATACTTTTCTTTTTTAAACTTAAAATCTGTGAAACAATTTTTTTTTAAATTTGGCATTTCACTTAGGTAGGTTTTCAAAAGTTTTTAGGTTACAGTTATTAATCAAATATTGAATAACATTTTATTATAAAATATTGACTCAGCTATTTTATAAAAATACATTTATTATAAAACACATAAGTTATCCATTGGTGTCTGCAATATGAGGGAAATATAATTAACTTAAAGCCTTAACAGTATAAATGAGGGTCATCATTTCAACCTCTTATGGAAATTTCATTCCTCTGGTCTTGTATTCTTACTTGCAGCTTTCCAACCAAAGTCTAGTACTTTACTACTCAAAAGTAGTCTGGGGAGTTGCAGCATTACCATTTCAGGTTTTCTCCAAGACTGTTAAGTTAGAACTTTAATTTCAACAAGAGCAGTACACCCTCAGGTGATTTTTTTTTTCCCACCCGTTAACATTTCTGCTCTGATATATTTTAACATTAATGTTACTGTGAGCATCTTTCCAAATGCTGTTTTTGTTTTTTTTTTTAATTTTTTTTTAATATTTATTTTTCAGTTTTTGGTGTATACAACATCTTTATTTTTATTTTATGTGGTGCTGAGGATTGAACCTAGCACCTTGTGCATGCCAGGCAAGTGCATTACCGCTTGAGCCACATCCCCAGCCCCAAATTCTGTTTTTTAATAGGCCTGATGTAAACATAGACTACTATAAATAAGCCACCACCTAAAACAAACTTGATTTGTGTAGGTAAAGTATTTTATTTATATATGTAAGTAATATATCTTTTATATATATAAAATGAACATATTCTATAGTAAGCTCTCAACTTAAAAATAACTATTTCTATACTACATTCATTGTTTATGAAATATTTTATTTAATTTTATGTATTTTTGTTTTGTTTACAGAAAACATCCAGAAAAAATGACCCATTGGTTTCATAGGAACCCTTTAAAAGCTACAGCTCCTGTCTCTTTTAACTACTATGGTGTGGCCGCTGGTCCTCCTGCTTCAAAAATTTGCAAGTATGTGTTAGACTCACAAGTATTTTTGCCACTCTTGGATAAATGGTACTCTTTAGATTCCATGGTAATACAGAAATATGTAACACATTGTTCCCAACTTTCAAATTTATAAATGATAGAGGAAGAGTTAAATTTCGGCAGTCATCTAGCCCTTGGTCCTTAATTTAAGACCATTAAATGAATCTTAAATTTACTGGGTCTAAAGCAATGACAAAAAAGTCAATAGTGTAAGAGACTCAATAAAATAGAATATGGACATTTTTAATTGGCCAGATAGTAAGTTCACTGAGTTCAGAGCAGGGAGAGATCCTTATGATTTGCAATGACTATTAAAGTGATATAGGAGAAAGAACTTGAACTGGAATTTACATAAATTCTGTGACTTAATTCAGGGATTAGCAAACTGCTTCCCACAGGTTCAGCCTACTGCTTGTTTTGGTAAATGAAGTTTATTTGGAACACAGATCCACATTTATTTATGTATTATCTATAGCTCCTTTGGGCTGGTTTCCTCTACAATAGCAGAATTGAATAGTTCTGGCTGAGACCTTATGGCCCACAAAGCCTGACTATCTAGCCCTGTATAGAAAGTGTTTGAGGATTCCTGATTTAGACAGGGGTGAAAAGAGTGATTTCTATCAAGGAAACCATTGTTCTAGGGATAAGAGAGCAATTTGGCTGGAGCAAAAAGGATAGATGCAAGAGGTATTTCAAAGGAACAGTTAGCTGATTGGACTGGCTCTGAGATTGAAAAGGTTTCAGTCTGTTTTAGATGTAAAACAAATAATTCAGATATTGGTGATACCAATATAGGATAGTCAGGAGAGATACTGCGTTGGAGGAAAGAAGTGATTGTAGTACAAGGCAGGAAAATTTGTCTTATTAATCTAGACCAATGGTCAGCAAACTTTTTTTTTTTTGTTTGTTTTTCATATTGGGGATTGAACCCAAGGTTATTTAACCACTGAGCCATATTACCAGCTCTTTTTATTCTTTATTTTGAGACAGAATTTTGCTGAGTTACTGCAGGAATTACTAAGTTGCTGAAGATGGTCTGGAACTTATTGTCCTTCTGCCTTGGCCTCCAGAGTCTGGATTACTTGGGCATGTGCCACTGTGCCCAGCTTCAGCAAACTTTTTGAAAAGCACTAAATAATTACTATTTTAGGCTTTATTGGCCACATAGAGATGTTGTTTTGTATTCTTCTTTGTTCTTTTAAGTAGTCATTTTTTAAAATATTTTATTAGTTGTTGATGGACCTTTATTTATTTATATGTGGTGCTGAGAATCGAGCCCAGTGCCTAATACATTCTAGGCAAGCACTCTACCACTGAGCCACAACTCCAGCCCTTAAATAGTCATTTAAAAATGTAAAACACATCCTTATTCTGTGGGCCATACAAAAATAAATTATAGTTTCTTGACCCTGAATCTAGACTTCAAGAGGCGAGGCCCCACTTCAATTGCTTTTTCCGTAGCCTTAGACAAGTTCCTGAACTTCTTTGGACTTAATTCCTAATCTATAAAATAAACACCCTACATCAGATACTTACATTTTTCTCTAATTCTATAATTTTAAAACGAATATTATTTTACCCAAGTTGAACTATAGGTGATGATTGAGTACCTACATGGAAATTTCTGGCAAACTATTTTAGTCTAGAATAGGCCTTAAGGATTCACATTTCTTCCGAGTTTAGGAATCACTTCTTTCATTTTCTAGATAAAGTGAAATCTAGATGCCTCAAACAATGACGTATTCATAAGGTAGCCTGTCCCATTTTCAGTCAACTACATGTAATTATTGGTATAATAAATTAATAAATTTAATAATTTAATAATAACTTTGAAATAAGCCTCCTCAGAATTAGTACTAATGAATAAGCACTGTATCCACCTCATTCAGGATTTAGTCCATGCTCTTTTCTAAACATCATAACTGTGTTACAACCCTCCTAATCTCAAAAAAATATTTGCAAAGCTATTATTCTTTCACTCAACAAGTAAGTTTGAATATGTGTTTTATCCTAGCTACCTACTGAATTCTGTGTATGCAGCCCGTATTCTCTTGGTGCTCACAGTTTAAATCCAGTCTGTCTTTAATTACCTAATTGAACTTGCAATCCTCCTGCCTCAGTCTCCTGAGCTGCTGGGATTATAGATGTGTGCCACCATGCCTAGCAGTTACTTAACACACATTTTAAGTGTCTTCAGTCATTGTTCATGTAATATGATTTCTGGAACACTGACTGAGCTATTTGCCTTTGGGATTAGATGTGGATATGGACAGAACCAAGTTAGAGCTGACAATGAAGATCTAGGAAAAAAAAGGTAGTTTTAAGATGTACTAATAGATGAGATCTCAAAAGATAAAACCAGAAAGCCCAAGATTGAACAGTTTCATAGGTGGAAATAAGAAGGGGACATAGAAAAACATGGGGAGAACTTTTAGATATAAAAAAGAGCACCTGGAAAATTTAGTAACATTGGAATTATGGGAGAAAAGAATTTCAAGAAGGAAAAGGCAGATCTGTGGTGTTGTGTTTTGTTTTGCAGCAAAGAAGTAAAGGATAATAGAGTGTAGGGAGCCATTTTAAAATGATTAATAGCCACATGTTCTATGCATTGAACTACAGAATGCAATTTCACTTTTAAAACTTTTCTACTTAATAAAGTGTATTTTGACATTCTGTGAGTAATGTCTAGTTTAGCCATTTTAAACCATTAAGTCCCAAGTTTTAATTCTGTAAATATTTCAACAAAATTGACAAAGGTACTTTAAAATAGGTTAGAAATCACATTCTAGAGCTTATATATTAATATTATGGTATATTGCATAATTACATGTTCTATACTGTATTTAAGTTTTTATAGGTATTTCACATCTGGGATGATTGGAAAAAATGGATTAAGGAGATACTAAAATCAAACACAAATATGACTGTCAAATTTCCATATTTCAAGAAACTTCTGCGAACTGGTTATTCAGTTCTAATTCCTCCTGTCAATCTTAAATGCATACATTTGTTTGATTGATTTTGTGTGTGTGTGTGTGTGTGCTGGGAATTGAATCCAGGGGCACTTTACCACTGAGCTACATTCCCAGCCCTTTATATTTTTTATTTTGAGACAGGTCTCAATAAGTTTCTTAGGGCTTCACCAGATGCTGAGGCAGACTTCGAACTCGGGATCCTCCTGCCTCAGTGTCCAGAGTAGCTAGGATTATAGGCATGAATGCATGCATCACCATGTCCAACCTTGATTTATTTTTTATAAATTAAAACTTGCTAGGTATTCTTATTGCATAATTTTTATTCATAAAAATTGGACTAGGTTTATTTAGTACAACTTTTTAAATGTTTTTAGAAACTTCATTTATCTCCAGTGTTAGTCCTAATCAAATTTATTGCTCTGTACTTGATGATACCTTAAAGGAGATAGTGGAGGATGATGGGTGTTATTTTTTTAAAACTTTTACATTGAAATCTTTAAGCCACTTTTACACAGTCATTGTAGTACAGCTTACTTAATTTTATTGTCTCTGTTTTGTACAAGTGACTTGAGAACATCCAGGGCACGACTTCTTGAATTATTCACTGATTTGAGCTGTAATCCAGAAATGATGAAGAATGCAGCAGATTCATACTTTTCACTCTTACAAGGTCAGTTACTTGTATGAACTTCTCAGCTAAAAAATAAAAAATTATGCAGAAGTTAATATTTAACTCTATACACTTTTCAAATTTGGACAGTTTAATTTCCAGGCCATACGTGTATGCTTGAATTTCAAAAATGTGAGAGTGTAATGGTAGTGTGTGGTTTAACATTTTGAGAATTAAATATGTACATATTTTATATTACATTATCTCAGAAAAAGGTGTGGGATGTGGGAAGAGAGAAGGGGGCCAAAAAAATTCATTCAGGCACCTGGAAAAGTAATTATCTGAAAATATGTCCAAATAGAACACATGATATTTATTCTAAATCTAAAATGTCTTGTATCTTTTTGTAGGTTTCATAAATTCACTGGATGAATCTACCCAGGAAAGCAAGTTGCGATATATTCAAAATTTCAAGTGGACTGATACGTTGCAAGGACATGTTCCAAGGTAAGCAATATTAATGTACTAAATGGAAGCCAGTTTTTGTAACTATATAGCCAGCCATTAACTCATAGATTCTGTATTTGAAGAATAAAAATAAGGTCTGATCAGCATTTTCTCTTGTCAGGAAATTAATTAGAAGCATTGGATTCTAATTCAAATATATAATATTAAGTAAAATTATTAGTTGTTTCTCCCAGAGCATGTCTATTTTTTATAAACTCAATACAAATACTAATAAAAATTGAACAGTCTTATTTTAATAAGACACATAGAATGTTTTAGAAATTTGAAACCTAAACTGACTTTCAGTCTTTGCCTATCTTCAAGCCAAGCAGAATTTTGGTTTTCCCCTACTTTCTTTTTCTAAGGGATAGCTCAGAATACTTTGGTCAGTCTGTATCTGTCTTCTTAACTCCATAGTCTTTTGATTCTAGATATTTGGTTTTTTATTTCTTTTTACTGTTTCTACTCTGTTTACAAAGTTTCCTTCAGAGCTTTTTCATCACTCACTTGAAACTATCGAAGATGAAATTATAGCAGGAAATATGTCATAGTATTAACTTTATTCAATTACTTTTTTTGTTTTTAAACATCTTTGAATTATTAAAAATACCTGTATATTTTCATCTCAATTTGCTGTAGAATTACTGTTTTGTAAGAAAGAAAGGGCTGGGCAATTGCTGGAAGAACAGGGCAAATAGTGCATTATATAGAAAGAGAATGGAGGTTGAATTTACACATAGCATCTAGGTATGTAGCACAGCATCATACCTAGATGCTATTCCACATTTTCTGCAAAGGAAACATCTGCTTCTTCAACTAGATTTTGGTGTTATAAGACTTTGTGAGGAACAAATAAGAAAACTTAGGTTACGTGAATAATATTATAATGCCAGGCATTTAAGAAGACATTCACTAAATGTTAATTCATTTTTTTCCTTGGGAATATCTCGTGTAGAATTTATAATTGGATAGGAAGTAGGGAAGATGGATCCTTTCTAAATAGTTTCAAGTTAATATTCAAACCTTTATTATTACTATAGACTTTGGCAGATTCTAAAATGTTTTGCATTGTGTAAATTTGGCCTACCTACCAAATTTTTATTCCATGTTACAGCAAGTTACTATTTATTTTTTTTTTAGCATTTTATGAGAGAGTGAAAAATTATGTGATGAAAACCTTAAGTAACACTGAAAACTTAGTACATATGAGATTTCTAATTTACTTTATGCTTTATTTCTACTTATTCAGCTGAGATTGTGCTGTGAATCTTATCTGCTCGGAAAAATTATTTCTTGGATTATAAATGCTCTGACTGCTACTTAGATGTGGTGTCACAGAAATGGAGTGTTTTGGAACAAGGTGGATTGAAAAAAATGAGTATAAAAAGAAAAGAGTTATTCATTAGGCTTCATGTAAATTAAGAAAACTGTCATGTGATTTAAAAGTAAAATTATAAATTAGAAATACACAGTAGATCACAGGGTGTAATTCATTTGAAATTTCTCATTTCAAAAATAATAAGCTATTTAACTGTGAATAACTTTTTTTTAAGATGGTAAAACTGTTTTGTGAGGTTTGTTTATAAACTTTTTCATGTAATGTACATGAAAATTACATTAATTTATGAATATAATTTGTAAATTATATTTAAAATTATTTATAAATTAACTATCTATAACTTATTTTAATTACAGTGTTTTCTGGCTTTCTGTGTGTGTATGTGGTGCTGGTACTAGGGATTAAACCCAAGGCCTTACACATACTAGGCAAGGGCTCACACCTCATAAATTTTGTTTGTTTTGTTTTTGTGGTACTGGGAACCCCAAGGCCTTGCACATGATAGGCAAGCTCTCTACACTGAGCTACATCCTCAGCTCTTTAATTTTTATTTTGAGAACAGGTCTTGCTAATTTGCCAAGCTGGTCTCAAATTTGTAATCCTTTTTCCTGGGATTACAGGTGTGTGCCAGTTTGCCTGGCCAAAATCAATAAATAAAATACAAAGTAGAGACATCCTTCAAAGCTTTTCCCTTTTGGTAACTTTTCAGTATCTATCTTATTTTGCATAAGGATGTTATTTCTGCTTTCTTATTTCATCAGTTGAAATTAATAAGATAGTGTGTAAAGAATTTGCAGGTTCTTAAAATGATGGTGAATAAATTGGTGTTCATATCATTTACTTAATGCCATTTGCCATCTTTTAATGTTATAGTAATAGAATAGGAAGGAAATAAGTACATATACTTGTTTTCAGGACCTTTTCCTTTGTAAAATACTGATTCAAAATCTTCTACAGTTTTCTTCATTTTGACATTTCATCTTTCTTTTCATCCATTTCTTTTTACACTATCTGCTCTAATCAGAAAAATCTTTATACTTTCTTGTGCTTTGACAGCTTAAGTTTCTCACCTAGAATGTCTTTTGCTTCCCTTCTAATCATCTCTCAAGGCACAATTCAACTTTTATATATACCATTAATCCTTTTGTAATCATCCTAGCCTAAAACTACCTCTCCTCTTAATTCTGTTTTCTTAATATGTGGTATAAGAACCATCTATTTCAGAGTCAATTGAGTATTTTATAGATTCTGGGCTCCATTCCAGACTTTCTAACTTTTTGAGGGTAAGTCCCAGAAATCTCTGTTTTTAAAGCTACTCTATCTACAGTAATCTTTGGAAGTACTATTCTTATGTTATTCAGTTGTATAGTACATATTGCATTACTATATTTAGCTATTCATTGATAATTATTGGGTCTTATCTCCCCATCTATATTAAACACAGAACCATTTTCATTATTCCTGCTCACACATGAACACACACCCAACCACTTACTTTGTAATTCTGAGTTGGATATTCAATAGGCTTCATGTAGCAATAGCTCAATAATTTTATAGAACTCAGTTGGGTGTGGTGGCACATGCCTATAATTCCAGCAACTTGGGAGAGCAGGAAAATTGGAAGTTGGAGGCCATCCTCATCAATTTAGTGACACCATGTCTCAGAATAAAATAAATAAATAGAAATGTCTAGGGATGTAGCTCAATGGTAAAGTGCCCCTCAATGGTAAAATCTCCAGTTCAAAAAAAAAAACCAAAAAATTTACAGAAAATAATAATCATGTTTTTAATTTCAGTGCCCAGCAGGATGCTGTTTTTGAATTAATTTCCATGGGATTTAATGTAGCTCTGTGGTATACCAAATATGCTTCAAGACTGGCGGGAAAAGAAAAGTAAGTTAAAAGAGAAAGGGTTTATGTATGTAATATGATGTTTTTCAAATATTTTGAGTTTCATTATAAAAAGTTTAGGCTGTTGAGTAAAGAATACCATGTTGAGTGAGTGCACATATTTTAAGTTTTAGAATTAGGGAGCCTAGTGTTAAGAAAAGAAAAAAATTTTAAATAATCTTGTAATGTGAAAGATTTTCCTAAATAAGACTCCATACCAAGAAACTGTAAAAGGAAGGATTGAATATTTGTCCGCTTAGAAGTCCTATGAACATAGTTTAAGAAGCACGTGACAGAATTGGTTTAAAACATTGCAATGCATATGGTAAATTATTCATTTCTTAAAATGTATATTCTTACAAATCAACAAAGACCATCAAATTAGTTAAAAATAAGCAATGGACATGAATAGGCTATTCATAGAAAAAGAAATGCAAAAGGTTTTAAGTATATGAAAAGATCTTGAAGGTCTAAAAGAATTACAAAATAAAATGAGGTGAAATTTTTATAATAGCTAAAGTGTCTAGAGCAATAGGAAATTGGCAAAATTGTTATAATTTATCCATACATAGGAATAGTATGATACCATTGAAAAATGAAGTTGAATCTTGTGTACTGATATAAAATTATCTCTAAAGTGATTAAAATTAGGAGAGTAGCGAATATAGATAGCTATCATTTCATATGTATAAGTGCTTGTTTATAACAGAAGACTGTAGACGGTAAGACCAGAAGACTTCATTTCAGAGTTCAGAGTTCACCTCTAGGCAGGTCTTTTTTTTTTTTTTTTGGAAGTATCTTCTCTTTGGATCTCGTTTGCATTTGTTGCTTTGACACTTAAAAGTATCAGGATTAGATTTTTTAATTAAATGGAAGAAAACTAGTGATGAGAAATGCAAACAATTAATTTGGCTTAATGATAATGTGTTAGTTGTTGTTTCTATTACCTGAATTGCGATTCATCCTCTAACAATTTAACACTGTCTTTAAGCATAACAGAAGATGAAGCAAAGGAAGTCCATCGAAGCCTGAAAATTGCTGCTGGGATTTTCAAACATTTAAAGGTAAAAATATAAAATTTTATGTAGAATTTCTAATGCTTTAATTCTTAAATAATTTTTCCTTTCTGGCAAGAGAGGAAGAATGTTTACACACTTCATTATGTATAAAGAGCTGGTACTGTCCCTCCAGTATCTGCAGGATACAAACTGCTCCCTTTCCCTAGGGATGCTAAAATATGTGGATGCTCAAGTCCCTTTTATAAAATGGCACAGTGTTTGCATATAATGTATGTACTCCCTCTCGTATTAAATCATCTTAAGGGCTGGGGATGTGGCTCAAGCAGTAGCGTGCTCGCCTGGCATGCACGGTGCGCTGGGTTCGATCCTCAGCACCACATAAAAATAAAAAGATGTTGTGTCCACCAAAAACTAAAAAATAAATATTAAAAAAATTCTCTCTCTTAAAAAAAATCATCTTAAGTTTGCTTATAGTATCTAATACAATGTAAATGCAAATGTCGTGTCAATAGTTATTACACTGTGTTGTTTAGAGAATAACGACAAGAAAATAGTATACGTGTTCAGCACACATGCAGAGTCTTTTTTTCAAATCTTTTCAGTCCAAGGTGTGTGTGTGAGGATGTGGTTGTGGAAACTGAATATGTAGGGCTAACTGCATATGTTCTGTTTTCCATATTTAATAGTACCTTATTGATGAGTTCAGCCAATTACTATCGGTTTCTGCATTTTACTTTTAAAAACATCAGAGACTCTTACAATTAGAAATTTTCAGTTGTAATACACTGTTTATTTTTCTGTCTCTTCTGAAAAGTTATAGACAGAAACATTGTTCTCTGAAGCAGGTATCAGCAGCAGTCACAATTCCACAGAACTGAACTTCTGACGTATTCTCAGTACATCAATGAAAATGTTGGAGAGGCAATTATGGCACTCATACATTAAATTGCCTGGAGCTATAGTGGGCATTAGGAGAAAGAAGAATGTGTTTTCCAACTAGAATTCCCCTTCTCTTCATTCTAATTAAACTACTCTTTATTAAAGAACTCATGGAGGCTCAATGTCAGGGTTTTTCCCCCATGATAAAATAAGATGCGTCTACAGTGATGAAAAAGCTAGGATCCTGAATTTAGGTGGAAAATTGTAGTATTTTCTTTGTATCTTTAATTATTAATATAAATGAGCAATTCAGGCTATCATACAAAAAGGAATTTTGTTTACTATTTCAGTGAAACATTTTCTAAGGTAAAAGTATGGATTACATATGGAGTAGTCTACTATAACCAAAATTTTGCTCTTGAGTTTCTTTTTCTTATAAAAGCTAAATTTTAGTGTACAGAGGCTGATATTATCTGTAAGCTTACTGTTGCTCTTTTTTTACAATTTTTGTTTGTACATTAAATTTCTGGCAAATTTGTCAATTGAATGTCTCGTTAGTTTCATTTTTTCATCTCTTAACAACGGGTTAACATGAAATTTGGCATCTTCTGTTTCTTTCAGGAAAGTCATATCCCAAAACTTATTACACCTGCAGAAAAGGGAAGGGATCTAGAGGCACGGCTCATAGAAGCTTATATTATCCAGTGTCAGGCTGAAGCTCAAGAAGGTATCCTAAATATTGTAAGATTTTTCTTGTTTTTATTTTGGAGAAAGTCTATATTTGCATTTAATCTTTTTTAAATAATCAGAATTAGCTGCAATTGAGTTTCAGTTTTTAGAAATTTCAGGAGGAATAATTCTACCTTTGACATTGAACTAGCAGGAACAGATCTTACAACTTAATGACTCTTTTTTTAAAGAGGATTTTGATTCCCTGCCATTTCTGACAGTACAAAACTAGTTCTTTAACTCTTTGTTTCCCCAACTACCACGTTCATTCTTTTTTCTCTTCCACTGTTTGGCTTAGTTTGAAGTCTTTATCTTTTCAGTGGCAAGAAACAGTGGGACTTATGTGATAACAACTTTCTAAGCTTTTGGATTTTTTCCAAATGCCAGTGCTCTGAAAGTATGTTTTATATCAATCTACATTGTAGTAATTCTCTGCAGTTAACTAATAGTTGGCTATTGATTTATTTAATGAAATGGTAACAGAACCAACAAGCTGTGTTTTCTGTTTGTATTTGCATTTTCTATTCTTTTCATAGTAAAACTTAACAATAATTGTTTGAAAACCCAAAAAGATTATCAGACTTTCTTTTGCTATTAAAACTGAACTTACTCTGAGTGGAAAAGAATGTAATTATAGGTTCCTTTTATTGTGTGTTTGTTTTAGTAACAATTGCCCGAGCAATTGAACTTAAACATGCTCCTGGACTAATTGCTGCACTGGCATATGAAACAGCCAATTTTTATCAAAAAGCTGGTAAGCTAATTCTGTTGTTATACTTTTATTCTTTATATTTTCAGATTTATTTGCTTTTGATTGAATAGGAAACAGAACAAAAAGATTCTAAGTTTTCCATTATTTGCAAAACTAGAATAGTATCTTCATTACTTCATTGATGTTTAAAGAATTAGAGTTGCTCACAGTTAATATGCTACATAACTTTTAATGGAAAGGACAGTGCTGTACTTTTTAACCAGTCATCTAATAACTATATGGTCTTTTGCTTTTAAGTTTTTGATCTTTACTGTAATCTTGTAATTACTATCCTTTCTTAGATGAGAAACAAACCAAAGAGTTAACATGATCAACCCAAAACTTAACTGCTAACAGGTGGGAGGTTGAGACCAGAACACATTTCCTCTAATTATCCTATTCTTTTCATTTACTAATTTAAGAGCTTTGCATGTGTTTCTTTTTATGAGATGGTTACTATTTTACTTGCTGAGTAGAGATAAGTTGAATAAATTCACAGCTGAGGGGAGTAGACAAACATGTAATTACATTATTGTATCATGAGTTTTATGATGATGTTACAGCAGTGAGATGAGAACCTCAACAGTCTGGGCATGCTAGAGAAGGCTTTCTAGAGGAAGGTTACATCTTAGTCTCATTTTGAAATATACATAGAACTTTTTGTTATGTTTCTTAGAAAGCATTAGTGTGTGAGAATAGAACATTTTATGCTATTTACAATTTAAGAAAGAACTTAGCACATTTTGGCACTTTCAGACAGTTGTAGCTGAAACACAGAATGAGTAAAACGAGAAGAGATTGGGAAAATACATTTGTGTGAGATAAAGAAGTGGTTTATAAGCCTACCTAAAAAGTTTGGCCTTGATTCTGTAGATATTTGGAATCCATTTTATCTTAACCAGTGAGTCTGACTGGATTTGATTTGAATTTAAGAAAGATCTTTCTGGTTGCAGTATGAGATAGGCTTGCTGCATGAAGTAGTAGGCTGACTTAGCACTTAAGAAGAAATTCTGCCTTTGGAAAAGGAGAAAATTTGGAAGCAACATTATTTAAAATTCTTGGTCCATATCTATTTTTATCTATGTTTTTGTCTTAATCATCAAATCAAAGAAATGCCATGGTATTTAACTAACCCTATTATGTAGCTTGAAATATAATTATGGGAAGCTAAGTCATTTTTAATAAAGAAGGTTTTTTAAAATCTATAAATGCTTGAGTCTTAGACTTGAATGGCATTCTGCTTTTAGCATGAAAATACATGAACTAAAAGTCTTCTAGTGAATCAGGGTGAAATTATATTTTACTTTTTAAAATGTAACTTTAGATCATACTTTATCCAGTTTGGAGCCTGCATATTCTGCAAAATGGAGAAAATATCTTCACTTGAAAATGTGTTTCTACACAGCTTACGTAAGTATTAATAGCCCTAAATATGTAAATTACTCTCTTTCCATCCCCTTAAGTGCCAGGTCTCTCATCTTACCAAAGTCTTAGCATTTTGCAAATAACGAGCAGTTCTGAGTAAATGTTCACTGACATTGTAGCCATTGTGAACTAACACAGGTGGAAAGAGATGATGTAGAATTGTAGACCTAGATTATAGCAGTGGAGTTGCTGTTTGATTCAAAACTCCCTATAGCCTTCTATGTGCTTAACAAAAATTTTCTCAAGTACAGTTGACTAAGTCTAGTCTTAAGGCATATCATATACTATATATATCACCTAGATTGGTGAACCATTACTACACACTATTTATCTGCTTATTATACCCACCAAACTTAATTATTATTTTATTGATTAAGTGCTATGTGAGAGAGTCAAAACCCTTTTTTTCAAGTCTAAATAAATGTATTTATTTCTTATAGTTTATAATCTGTTTTTACATTTACTACTTGGGACCACATGTAATCCCTGCACATTTAAGGAGTAAACTTTCAGGCTGATACATTTCTTTTAAAACTTCTTTAGTCCTTAACCTCAAAACAGTAGCTCTGCATTAGCGCAGTAATTTCCTCCTTTATCTGCCATGTCCTGATTTAACAGATTTTAACAAGTAATTTTTGCTCTCAGGAAATGGTTAGAAGGCTAAGTTCAGCTAAAGGCTTGATATAATTCTTTTATATGAATAGAGATGGGAAAAGCTTACTCAAGTAAAGAGATCTAATAGATTATTTATACTTAAAAGAATGGATAAAGGCATTTATCTGAAACATGTATAAGGATAGGGAGAGAATGAATAAAAGTGTGTTTCTCTTTTTATTAGGCTTATTGTTATCATGGTCAGACTTTGTTGGCTAGTGATAAATGTGGTGAAGCAATCAGGTCTCTGCAAGAAGCAGAAAAATGTAAGTATTCCTGTCAGAATTTTAATTCTTTTATTAAAATAGGTATTTTACCATAAAGGGGGATAAATAGGCAGTTAAGAGGTTTTGGCCAATATCATGAAAGGGAATGAGGACAGGTGAGGTAATTGGAGGGAGAAAAAGTATTTCAAACTTAGAAAATGTAGAAAATGCCCATCTTTCCATTAGAGTATTATTATTGATATTTCTATTACTCTACAGAAGAGAAAGCAGCAGAAATCTTATCTTCTGATTTAAAGCTTTTTAAGCATAAATAAGGAACGTTTTATTATTATTAAACAGCTTTTATTCCTTTCATGTGCAGTATATGCAAAAGCAGAAGCATTATGTAAAGAATATGGAGAAACTAAAGGACCTGGACCAACAGTCAAACCATCGGGACACTTGTTCTTTAGGAAACTTGGAAACCTTGTGAAGAATACCCTAGAAAAATGTCAACGAGAAAATGGATTTATGTGAGACTAACTTAATATATAATATTAACATTATATCAGTTTATAGTTATATTGGAATATTAATTAGTAATATCATGGTTTCTATTAGTCTGTGTTCTCAAAGGGTTTATGTTAAAGTGCACTTAAGTTTAGCATTATTTTTTTTCTTCTTTATAGTAGTGATAAAGTTCAAGTGTGTAGAACGTTTTGTGGTACTGGAGATTAAACCCAGGGGCTCTTAACCACTAAGCCACCTCCCAGCCCTTTTTATTTGTGTTGAGATGGAGTCTCTCTAGATTGCTTACAGCCTCACTAAGTTGCTGAGGTTATCTTTGACCCTGCAATCCTTCTGCCTCTGCTTCCTGAGCCACTGGGATTATAAGCATGTGTGACTGTGCCCAGTTTAGAACCTTTTAATTACTGATATGTAGCTTACTTCTTTAGGATACTCCCATGATGTTCTTATTTTCTCTGCATGTTTTATGCGTACCTTCCCACAAACAAACACACGCACATACATATACATATACAACCATACATCTTCTCAACTCCCTTTGCATGTTCACCTCACTCTGATTTTGGCTACCTGTTAAGCAGGATAATTAATTTTTTCCAATCCTTCCTATTCCTTTAAAATAGTTTCCCTTATTTGTGTTCAAACTGTGAACCACCACCTTCGTTGGTTTGTAGAATCTATCTTGTCCCTGTTTTTAATCTCTGTACATTTTCCTCTTTATATTCTGCATATGATCGTTCCAAACTTTTCACTTTCTTAAACATGTCTAGTTCACATTTCATCACTTCCTTTGGAAATAGTTACTAATCTGTGTTAATGATCCTCTTTGTATTCTCATGGCACTTTATATCATAATAGCTTCAGTTAACTCTGCATTGTATTTGACAAGGTTTCTTAACTTTCTCACCTACTCATCTGTGAACTACATGAGACAGGGAAATCTCTGACCCCTCATTACATTGATGATTATATTAGGAGATCAGTTACTGAATAAATGAATGAATCACTATTTAAATTGCTTTTTTGCAGTTACTTTCAAAAAATTCCAACAGAAGCCCCACAGCTGGAACTCAAAGCAAATTATGGGCTGGTAGAACCCGTGCCTTTTGAATTTCCTCCTACAAGTGCTCACTGGACACCAGAAACGCTGGCTGCATTTGATCTCACCAAGAGACCTAAGGATGACAGTGTATGAGAGAGATTTTTCTTCTGCTCACGAAACTTTAAAAATGCTAACTCAGAGTTAGCATTTTGATGTTTTTCTCTATTTAAATAGATAACCTGTTTGTCTATGTTAAATCAGCTAATTGTAGTGTAATCTTTTGTAGAGCACTGTGAGATAAAGCCTTTAGATCCTCAGTGGCCTCTGATTTTAAACATAACTGAATGACATCAACACATTATCTTGCCTTTTTACAACTTGTCAGTGCTTCTTCCTTAAAAGAGAGTGGGAGGAAAGATTATCCTTGTTTGTATTCCCACAACAATACTCTTTTTTTCATTTAGCATATTGCAGGGTATCTAATTCCAGCATTCCATGAATCATCCAGAAATAAAATACTTTTATTCATTTATATTTAAGTAAATCTTGGTGTTCTAAATCAAGCTCAAGAGGAAATTTTGAGATTTGACTGCCAGCAAACTAGAAATCTATGACAAAAAGAATGGGAATAATTTTGCAAGAATAGCTCCTCCCTTCAAACTACATTTTTTATGTAATTCCCTTCCCATACTAAAATCATTATTCTTTAAAATAACAATCTTTATATCCTGATCAGACTCTTAAGAAATAGCCTATTACTGTCATAAGTTCATTCCAAACTTAGGGGTTCCATAGGCATAGATTGATTATTCGTTTCTTCCTCGGAGAGTATAGGTTAGGAAGACCATTTGCTTGACTATAGGCAAAAGTAACTGTTTCTTAAAATGAGTTGATTTGTAGCTTCTGGGACAGCTTGTTATTCTCAATGTTACTTCATTCAGTATTGTACCTTTTGAAAGTCTAAAGTAGAAAAGATCTCCTGTTTGTTTTCTGAGTTTATGTAAGTGCTTAATATTGTATTTTTCCTTCTTTAGGCCAAACCTAAGCCAGATGAAGAAGTAAAACCTGTGAAAGAACCAGATATCAAACCTCAAAAGGACACGGGGTGCTACATCTCCTAAAACACAATATGTGCTTAGAATTCTACAAGTAGAAGAGAAAACTGAGAACTTTGGTACACATTTCTTGAAATGATTTTTCTGAAGCTTATAGCATAATTATTACATTCAGAGGGAATCTGCCTTTAGTTCGTTTGTTCTTGATTTTTAAGGTGGTAGACATGTTTTTAATCAGGACAACATTTGAAAGGTTTTATTGTGCCTCTGACAGGTGTATTTGAGGGTTAGATCTTTTTTGAATTCTGGTTAGTAAGTTTCAGCTTAATGTATTATAGGCCTGAATTGTTTTTCAGGTATGTTTTTCTATCTTCACAAAAATGTTTATTTTTTTTCTCTTATTTGATACCAGAAGAATGGCAAGAATGAATTTTGAACAGAGATGATCTTTTTCCCCTCACCATTGTGTTAATTATAGCACAGACTTGTTATGTTCTGAGTCATTTATCTTTTCTGGTGGGGGAAAAAAGCTCTTAATAGTTGAAGATCAGAAAATGTTCCTGCGAAATCCCTCAAATATACTGGAATCTATAGTTTACTCAAAAATTAGTGTTTATAAATAAGTTGAGACCTGTAAGAACTTTTTCTTATTCTTGTATCTGCTTCATTCAGTCTCAAAAACCCTACAATGTTTTTTTTTATAAATACCTTTTCTAATGGGTTTTTTACTTAGAGGATAGAACTTTGTAAGTGTTTAATGTTTATATGTAAGGGAAGACAGTAAGAATGAAGAATGTTTTTTGAAGAAGTAATATTGCATGATAATAAAAAAAAACTAAACGTGAATGAGATAGGTTGTCCTGTATTACACCGGTAACTACTACTTTGTTAGAGAAGTTTTAGTAAAATATCTTTGTTAGCTGATTTTAGTGTACATTGTTTTATATGGTTTTCTAATATATATATCTATATACATATCTCCTATCAGAATTGCATTGTTTTAGGTCAAAGGCCATAGCAAAAATTTAGAGAACAGATACAATATAATCTTATAAAATGGATTTAATAAGGCTGGGGATATTGCTAGAGCGCTGGGTCCAGTTCCCACTGTTGAGGGGGGAAAAAGATTATAATCATTTGAAACAGTTTAGTATATACACAGAATTGAGAAATAATGCATAATACTTAAACAAAATTCACACATCTGTAGATTTACCTTGTGTTGATTATTCTCCTAGAGTGTTAGATAATTTGCTATTATAAATGACACATTGGTTTTTACTAGAAAAATAAAAGTAGTGTATTTTGAGAGCTTACTATGTGCCAGTCACTGTGCTGAGCACATATATAGATACACCATAACGCACCTTTAATAAATATGTAAAATATGCATAAAGTGTCAAAATAGGAATATATGCATTTCATTTTGAAGAATGAACAAATTATGTCTAGCTGAACCAAGATTGTGTTCAAATAAATAATTGCTTAAATCAGATATCATAGCTTTCACCGCTTTTAAAAAGCTGCATAGAAATCAAGTTTTGTTTTTTTTTTTAATTTGTGGAAATGCTAACTACTATTTTCAGTATATAATATTTAATATTTGAAGCTACAGTTTCCAGAATATTTGGAGCAATAAATGAATAGTTTTATTTTGCTGTTTATGGGAAATATTAAATTTCACTGTAAACAGTCACTACAAATTGATTTGTTTCTGTATGTTATCTGCTGACAATTTTAAACAGTACTTAAGGACCTATTTATCTTAGGTACTAGTGCTTATTTAACCTAGTTACTAAATTTTCACATTGATATTTTTGTGGATTATACTACCTTGTATGAAAAGGAAATATGCAGTATGCTCAGTGCTTCTGTAAAATGCAGTTAATACTGGTATTTAAATAAATAATTGTCAATTTTGACATGATCAAATAGTATTTTGTTGACTCAGCAAAGGTAACACTTTATCCTTTTAATACCCCATTATATATAAGATTTTTTGAAAATGGTGTTGGAAATGATCAAATGTAAAGAAGTTGCATGAAGGCTAGAGGGGGATGTAACTATTTGTATTAACCGTTGCATAAATTTCATACCAGGCTATGACAGCTTACATATTGCTTCTGCCAAGTATTGTTTGTATAATGAATTATCTTTTTATTTATGAAAATAAAAGCAATTTTACCTACATTTTCATTGGACTTTTTGCTTTTTTTTTTTAATTTTTTTTTTAGTTGTTGATAGACCTTTTCTTATTCATTTATTTATATGTGGTGCTGAGAATTGATCGCAGTGCCTTACACATGCAAGGCAGGTGCTCTACCACTGAGCCACAACCCCAGCCCAGAATTTTTGCTTTTTGATGAATATTTTTATACTTCCTAAGCCAGTAGCATTATGCGAAATGTTAATATTCACATTAATGATTAAAAGGACAAATACAGAGCTGGGTTACAGCTGAGTGGTAGAGCGCTTGATTACCATGCACGAGGCTCTGGGTTCAACCCCCAGAATTGCAGAAAATTTTTTAAAAAATGACAGATTCATTTGTTTTTTGCTTTGTGTGCTTACTAATAAACCTTAATCACTCCTTGACCTGTTTGGTTTATACTTATGTTTATTGGTACCTATCACCTCTTAATCTCAAAGTAGGATTTTGATGGACCTGTTTATTTTTGATGCAAAAATATGAAGAATGATGCAGCATTTGTGTACTGTGGTAAGCTAAATTGGGGAGCTTATCATTGTTGTGCCATAATCTGTTGAAAAGCTTTTGTACTTTGCACACTTGAGGTGGCATTTAAATAAAACCACTTGGAAATATTTCCTTACTTTCCAGAGTTTAATTCTAGTGCTTCAGAAAATACTGCATTTCTAATCTCATATATAATAGTAAACTCATATCACATTGGGTTACCATAACTGTCTAAAAACTTTTTTATTTGTCATTTGAGTAATTGCTTAAAACTTAATTTTTAAAATTTAATTAATAGTTAATAGTTTATGAATTACAGAACAGAAAACATATTTGATCTTGCTCATCTAAAGGCCTTAGCTGTCACACAACCCAGTTGCATCTGATTCCCGTGATGTACTTGAGATAGTCCTAAGCTCATATAGTCACTTAGTATTCCCCTGAGAAAATGGTAGATGACCCAGTATCTTGAATCTTCATGTTGGTTTTTAGCCTTCTGGGAGCCTAACTGGCTAGGACTTGAGGTGGCTAGAGCTCCTAGGCTGGTCACCTTCAGAATTTCAAACAAGTTTTCTATAGTGTCATATAGAAAAAGTTGGGAAACACCCCAGTGGGGAAGCAGGTTAAGTAATTTGGTGCATGTATACAGTTTAACACTGAATGAAAAAAAAGATTTAATAATCTTGCCAAGTGCTACTCTGTCAATAATTTTCAAGGAGCGAGCAGCAGTGGTTTGCTTATACATTGTGTTTATTCATATTTCACTATCCTGCTTCTGCTGCACATATGCGTGCGTACACACACACACATGCACACACAGACCCTAGGGCCAGTTGTCTCTGAAGCACTGTGTCTAAGGCCGAGAAGTGGGGTTTTGATGGTCCCTGCCCTGCTCTTACAGAGGTTAGGCCTTTAAGACAATCTCAAGGGAAGAAGGAAAAGTGGAAACCAGAAGGGGTGCCAGTGGTGGCCCAGGCAAACAGTGCCAATGAGCTCTTGTGTAAATTGCCTGGCACTGGTTCTTTGCTGCAATTTAACCTTATGCATTTGAAAACAATGTCTAGATAAAACTGAAAGAACTCTTTGCAAATTTTAGATATTACACTTTGAAGTTAATGCCAAGCTGTAGAACTATTAATAGTGTTAATATAGATTACAATTATGTGTTTCAGCAAAGGAGTTAAATGAGTAGTGCACAGATGTAATGAGAAAATATTCATTTTCAAAATCAGGAAATAAAACAGTTGCAAGGCTGTTCTTATTCTTCCAACCTATTATAGAGTACCTTCTCCCACCCATTAAAATTAAATATGTGATTCATTCATCAAACGTACACTGAGTTCCAGCTATGCATCAGAAGATAGCAGCAGAAGATAGACCAGTGAACATACAATTAAAAACCTTTCCTACTCTGCTAAAGGGCTCAGGGAGGGAAGGGAAGAGGGAGGAAAGATGGGTGAAATGTTTTTGATGTTGATAAGTACTAAGGAGAAAAATGAAGCTGGAGGTAAGAAGTTCAGTGGTGGAGGGTGGTGGCGAAAGGAATGGTAAGTTGCCTGGGAGGAGTTACAGGAGCTCAGGGTGCTACTTGAGTTAAAGACCTGAAGTAAACAAGGGAACAAAGTCTAATAGAAAAAAGAACTGTGGAGAGAGCAGCGAGCACAAAGGTCCCTGCAGGAATGGTGTTCCCTCAAGTGACTAGAAAGGAGGCCATGTGGTTGGAGAAATGTCACTAAGAGGAGAGTCATACAAGATGGAAGTCCAATGACAGCCTGGTAGGCCATCATAAGGGCTTCATCTTTTACTCTGAGTGACTCACTGGTGAGTTTTAAGCAGACAAGTAGCAGGATCTGTCTGACGTAATTTTTTTTTTTTTTTTTAGAGAGAGAGAGAGAATTTTAATATTTATTTTTTAGTTATCGGCAGATACAACATCTTTGTTTTGTATGTGGTGCTGAGGATCGAACCCGGGCCGCACGCATGCCAGGCGAGCGCGCTACCACTTGAGCCACATCCCCAGCCCTGTCTGACGTAATTTTAACAATTCTAACTGCTTTTTAACTGTAGAATGTAGGGGGCTTAATAAGACCATTGCAATAATATAGGTGAGAGGTGATGGCTTAGAGCAGGTGGTGGCAATGAAGTGGTGAGAAGTATTAGAATTCTGGAAATATTTGAGAAAATTTCCTGACAGATTTAATGTTAGGTGTGATTAAAGGAAAAGAATCAAGAATGACTATGTTTTTGGCCATAGCACCTGGAAGAATAGAGTTGCCATTTATTGATATGGGAAGACTGCCAGAGGAGTAGATGTAAATTTGTGAATGGGGGTTGGGGGTTGGGGGTTGGGGTGGATTGGAGGGGTTTGCACTCAAAACATGAGCAAAGATTTAGACAAATCAGAATCGTAAAGTCTATTAGACATCCAAGAAGAGGTGTCAAGCATGCAGTTGCACATGTAAATTAGATTCAGAGGAAAACCCTGATGTGGAGAATGTAACTGTCCAAGTCATCTGTGTGTAGACAGTATTTAAACCACAGGGTCAAAGAGGAGCATCAAGGAATGCAAAGAAAAAAGGCCCAGTCTCTGAGCCCTGGGTTACTCCAATATTGTACAGTTGGACAGAGTATACGATCTGCTAATTATATGTTTTATCCTTGATAACCTAGATTGGAGTTTTTAAGGCAGAGGTGTTCATAAGAACTAAACTAAAGTCAAAAGAGCTTGATAGAGTATTTGGTCCACTGAAAGAGCACTTCTAGAATATTCATGTCTAGGTAGTGGTGTGAAGTTATCAGTGCTCCCAAGGTTTATGAAAACAGATTTCAATCAGCTATAGAGCCCCCTCTCCATGACAGGCCCTGTGATGACAAGGATGGATTCTGCATAGTATATTTCTAAAACGCCCATTAGGTGGCAGAAAAAACATTTACTAAATCAACTGTGAGCTAGATCTCTTCCCTGCTCCTTTAAAACCTCCCTAAAAACCTCTAAATTAAAACATGTCTCTGTCTGTTTGATTTATATAACTATTATGAGGAACAGAGACTAGTGTTCCCTTTAGAGAGCCAACATAACAGGATTGAACCAGATATGTGAAGGATGGGATGTGTGCACATGTATGTTTTATTTGGTTTGGAAATACATGGGTTTGGATGGTCTTAAGAGGAGTAACTCAACTATAAATGAGATTAAAATCCTTCTTTTAAAATTTTTTATAGTTGTAGATGGATAAAATATCTTTATTTATTTATTTAATGTGGTGCTGAAGATTGAACTGAGTGCCTCATGCATGTGAGGCAAGTGCTAACTATTGAGCTAAGACTCCAGCCCTTTTTAAAAATTTTTTTTTATATTTAAGCTTTTTAAGTAGGGTGGAGCAGAAGGAGGCTTAGGAAACAGAAAGCAAGAAACCTTCATGGAAGGTGTTTTGGACCCAGCTTGCTGTTTAAGCTTTCTGTAATACAAGTTACTGAATCACACAAGACTTTCTGTTTCAACTTCAGTTTCTTTCCTCTCGCTTCTTAGGGCACTGGACTCCAAACTTGTCTATATGGTGGGTTCACCTGAGCAGCCTTTAAAAAAATAATGATGTCTGGTGATTTAAGTAGTCTGGACTGTGGCCCATGTTTGGAATTTTTTTCAAAGCTCCCTAGCTGATTCTAATATAAAGACAAGTTTGAGAGCCACTGAGTATTGTTAATGGTGACTGTGTAAATCCTATAGACCTTTCCACAACTCAATCCCGTCCCACCCTACAAGACAAACACAGGAGAACACTTCCACGTCAGCATACTCAGGGGCTCTGTTTGGCCTCAGCCTAGTTTTATCATCTATCAAACAAGTGTAGAACCAAATGTTGCCATACTTCCAACACCAAACAGAACTAATTACATCAACAAAAGAAAATACAGCAGGATTATGTGAGTTGCTCTCTGGAAATGTTCTGATTTTGTTTGTTGTTGCACATTGTATTTTAGTTCTTACAGCACTGGTAATATTTACTTTTTCAATGCTATTATGCTTAGCAATTATTGGTCTTAAGTAACAAATTTAAATGGGTATTTTTTGACTGCCCTATGGCATCAGAAACTAAAGGGTAACATATCTTCCTATTTCTTGCTCAAGGCTCTTCTGGGATAGATTGGCACTAATTAAGTCAGGGAAAACAAATGTTTCATTCAGGTCTCCTCAGAGGTCCCTGGAGGGTCAGGTATAACTTCATCTCCCTGTGGAAGACAAGTTTAACCCTTTGTCTTCCAGGCCTTTGAAACTCTGAGCTTGGTAATGACAAACTCAGCATTACACAATAAGATTTGGTGATTAAGGGCTGGGGATGTGGCTCAAGCGGCAGCGCGCTTTCCTGGCATGCACGGGGCGCTGGGTTCGATCCTCAGCACCACAAGAAAATAAAATAAAGATGTTATGTAAAGATGTTGTGTCCACCGAAAACTAAAAATAAATATTAAAAAAATTCTCTCTCTCTCTCTCTCTTTAAAAAAATAATAAAAAAGATTTGGTGATTAATTTAAAACTACTTAAACTTGTATATGAGTACATATAATGTATGCATGTATTCATATGTTTGTATTGCCCATAAAATGTTCTTAGAATTTGTTAGTCCCCATTTTAATATACGGCTGACAATCTATTTACATTTGTAATAATCACTGATTTATTTGGAATCATTTTTAATAGTTTAGTATTTTTATTAATCATGCTTTTTCTTTGCTCTTTTTTATCCTACTACTTTTGAATGTATTAACCTAATTTTGAAGTTTCCTATTTTTCTATAATTTGAATACTTGTATGAGGACTGTTATAGTTTGAATCTTGAATGTCCCCCAAAGCCTGTGTGTTAATAATGGCTTGATCCCCAGCCCATAGTGCTGTTGGGAGGTGGTAGAACCTTTAGAAAGTGGGCCTTAATTGAAAAAAGTTAGGTCATTGGGGTGTGCCCTTGAAGGGGACGTTGGGACCCTGGCCCCTTTTTCTTCCTCTCTCTCTCTCTTTTTTTTTTTTTTTCTGGCCATCTTGAGGTAAGAAGGTTGTTTGACAATGTGCTCCTGTTATGATTTGGTGCCTTATCACAGACCCAACAGCAATAGTGCTAACTGACCATGATTTAAGACCTCTGAAACCATGAAATAAAATAAACCTTTCTTCTTTATAAGTTGATCACCTCAGGCATTTTATTAAGGTAACAGACTGCCAACAAACTTAAGAACTCTTACAATATCTTCATCTGCCAAACCTTCCTAATTATGGTCAATTTCTTTGTATTGTTTATGATGTTTTGTAATAAGTACATCTTCAGCAAGGGTTGTTTTCAGTAGAGATTCATTATACCATGTCTTATTGAAGTTACTCCAAGGTGGTTTCATGTTTGTCTTTGACAGAGTTCTGTGAGTGTCTGTCTTTAGCTCACTTGTCTTCATTTTAGGACATCATACCATATGAAAACTGAATTTGGGCAGCATCTACTACTGGCCTGAGGTTCTATTTTTTTTTTTCATGTGAAAGTTTCTACCTATATTTCCAAGAGGTGGCAAATATCTACTTTTTGCAGGCAAGGGGTAGCTTTTCCAGTCCGTATATTATAGATAAGATAGTGCTTTATTACTTAGATGTGAGTTTAGGTAGCTTCACTTATTATTATTTTGTAGATGAAGAGAATATGGTACAGGTATAATAAATAATAATATTTTTAAAATCTAGGTAGTCTGGCTCCAAAGCTTTTCCATTTCATTGAGATATAATTTAAATATAGTAAAATTAACTAATTTCAGTGTCAAATTTGTTTTTTTTTAATTTTTTTAAATTGTAGATGGACCCAATACTTTTATTTATTTGTTTGTTTTTATGTGGTGCTGAGGATCGAACCCACTGCTTCACACATGCAATGCAAGCACTCTGCCACTGAGCCACAATCCCAGCCCCTCAAATTTGTTTTGACAAATGTTTTCAGTCAAGTAACCATTACTTCAATCACAATATTAAAATGTTTCCATGACCCTAAACAGTTTTCATTTGTCCATTTGTAGTTCATCTCTTTCATCATTTCCAACAAACACTTCTGTTTTCTCTTATTATATTTTTGCCTTTTCTAAAATTTCACATGGAAAAAACACATACTCTGCAGTGTCTGGCTTCTTTCACTTAGCACAATGCATTTGAGAATCATTCATGATGTTGCAAATATTAGTAGTCTGTTATTTTTAATTGCTGAGTAGTATTCCGTCAGACACACATATCACATTATGTTCACTCACCAGTTAATGGGCATTAAAATTGTTCTCTGTTTTATACTCTCACAAATTAAAACTTATGAATATTCACATACCAGTGTTTTCATTTCTCTTGGGTGAATATCTAAGGGTAAAATTACAAGATCATATGGTAAGTGTATGTTTGACTTTTATGAAACTGCCCAACTCTTTCCTGAAGTGGCTGCACCATTTTGCATTCCCACTAGCAATGTGTTTCATCACATATTCCCCAATACTTGGTATTCGTATTTCTTAATTTTAGACCTTGTGATGGCTATGTTGTTATATTTCACTAGAGTTACATTTTGTATTTCCTCTCTAAAGGTACTGAGCATCTTTTCAGGTGTTTATTTGCCAATTGTAAATCTTCTTTGATAAAGTGTCTATTAAAATCTTTTCTCCATGTTTTAATTGAACGGTTTGTCTTTTATCCATAGTTTACATCTGCAGCATTTCCCCCAAAGCTCACATATTGAAAGCATGGTTCCCAGTGCAACTGCAGGTTTCAGAGGTGGGGCTTATATTGCAATAATTGGATCATACCATCTCTGCCCTCATTCAAATAGCTGAATGGACTACTAGGGGGTGGGAATCTAGTTAGAAGACGTAGGTCACTAAGGCATGCCCTGAAAAGAAAGGCGCCCCTATACCCCTATTCTCTTTTTGTCTTTCCTAGCTTTCATGAGCCAAGCAGCTTTCTTCTGCCTTGCCTTGCACCATGATGTTTCTGCCTTAAAGCTAGCTGATCGTAAACTGAATCCTCTGAAACAGTCTGAAACCATGATCCAAAATAAACCTTTCCTGCTCTGAGTTATTCTTATCAGGTATTTTATAGTCACAGAGACCAATAGCTGATGCACCAATGATTATATATATATATATATATATATATATATATATATATAAAATTTTTTTGCAAATGTTTTCTCTGCATAAAGTCTGTACTCTTAACACTCCCTATATTGCCTCTCAGTTTAAATCAAAATGATGGAGAAACTTCTAAGCAGGGCAGTGGCCACTTTCTATTAGCAGTTGTGGGCTTTGCAGTCAGGAAACCCTGCTGGAATTTTTGTTTCAAGATCCAATGAAAACATTTTCACTAACTGAGTTTCTTCCATTTTAGCACTGTACTGAACAGTTCTTTCTTGGACTTGAAGAACTGATGAGCCTTCGGATGTAATTACCTCTGAACTCTGTTTTTACTGTTAGTTGAAAATAACTAGACACCTCTCAGCTATATAAATACTGCCCTGGGCAATTTGCCCTACGGTGTCCTGTTTTTAAGTTACTAGTTGTCTTGTTTCCTAATGAAGAAAGATGATTTCCACCAATTAGAACGAGAGAAGAGTGAATCTTCCAAGAAGACTACTCCCAAAAGGATTATCCATTTTGTTGATGGAGACACCTTGGAAGAATATAGCACAGAGGAGGAGGAGGAAGAAAAAGATGGACAGAGAATGAATTCAACACTTGACCTTGTAAGCTTATAGCATCAATACTGGTGCATATGGGGCTGAATAAATAAGAGGTTGAGCCAGACATGGTTTATAGAAAATTGAGTTTTACATTATTAAGCTCTCAGATCCCTTGTTTGCTTTCTAGATCCATATATAGACAGCTTATCATTTTGATCATCTTTGTTTTCTCATCTATAATAAGGAACATGGAACATTATTAAGCAATTTGAAACCTCTACATTAAAAACTCTGCAAGAAAAATAAGACTCTGCAGTCACCACACCTGTTATTAATTATTCGAGTTTGATTTCTCTCTTTTTTTTCAGTCTAAACTCTCATGGGGGCCCTACCTGTGGTTTTGGGCAGGACGAATAGCAAGCAGCTCGTTTTCTAGTAAGTATGGTTAAGATTTTTTTTTTCTAGTCTTGATTATGCTCTGACAGACCCTCTGAGCTAGATGGGACTTGCAAAGGTTTAATCCACTCCATTCTGAAGAAGTAACTATTGGTCACAGAATTCTGAGTCTGTCCTTTACCTTCCCAGAGGTATGGAACCTCACCTCTTCATGCAGAACCTTCCATCTTTTGCCAACATTTAGTATTCTTCCTTGTCTTGGCCCAAATTTTGTCTTCGTTTCAGAAGTTCCTAGTCCTCCTGATTGTCTTTCTTAGAGCTATCCAAATCAGTCTGGATCCCTCTTTCACAGGACAGAATTTCAAATATTTGAAGACAAGATCCAGTCCTTCCTGGGTTGACTCTTCAATAAACTTTTATTTTTTAAAAAATTATTGTTGTATGACACAGTTTTAAGTTCCTTCCTCCTTATTACTCTATTATGAATATAAACTTCATCAGCCCCTACCAGGGGCATAATGAGTGGCCTACATGCCTATTTACAACAGAAGAAACACTGAATTTTATTTCATGTGACTTTTACCCATCTTCTGTTGAACATAACTGGCAACATCAAATTACTCATTTCCTTCTAACTTGCATATTCTTGTAAATTTGACAGGGAGGAAACTTACTTTAACATTCTTAGAAAACAGAAAATGCTTCTCTTAGAAATTAATCTTTATTCTTTCATCATAAAACCATTACTGAGTGTGTACTATATTCCCAACATTGGGCCCTGGGACACAAAGACAAATGACAGTCTCTGCTTTTAAGACACTCAATGTTCCTACACTGGAGAAGAGAGTCAAAAGTCCTATGATTTTAAAGGAAAACATTTCTAGGAGACCCCTTGAGGAATACACTTATTGTTCATGCCAAATCTCAATCACTGACTCTAACAGTGTGCTCTAGGTGTCCTTGCTACTATGACTGGAAGCAGACGAGAAAGACCTTGAACTTCTGCAAATAAATTCATTTTCGCTAGGCATGGTGGTGCGTGCCTGTATACCCAACAGCTTCAAAGCCAGCCTCAGTAAGGCCCTGTCTCAAAAGAGGGCTGGAGGGCTAGAGTTGTGGCTCAGTGGTAGAGCGCTTGCCTAGTATGTATGAGGCACTGGGTTCGATCCTCAGCACCATATATAAATAAATGAATAAAATAAAGATCCATTAATAACTAAAAAATTTTTTTAAAAAGGGATGGGGATGTGGCTCAGTGAGTAAGCACCCCTGAGTTCAACTCCTACTACCAAAAAACAAAAAACAACAACAAAAAAGCAAACAAAGAGAAACCCAGAAGTTTGTCTTCATCCATGGAAGAAGGATGATTTTGGTAACACTGTATTGAGTTTTTGGTACCATTTGAAATACACTCCTAACTGATGTCCAGTGATTCATCTGGCAGAGGGCAGAGTCTTTTCTGATTGTTCAAGGCCCATACTATATTTGTTCAGTGTTTCAAAAATTCTTCCTGACATATTTATCTGGAAAGGATAGCTCAAATATAATACCATATGAAGATAGAAGATTTCACAAATTTCCTTTGAGTCCTAGAATTTTTTGAGAGTCCAAGGCAGTTGAAATATTTTGTCAGTTAAATGTACTTAAAGTTAAGTGACAAATCACTTGCAGGCAAGTTTAAACCCTTGGCTCCTCAACTGATGCTAAGCAATAGTTATTGACTCAATTTGCCCAAGTTCTTATTCTCTTTTTCAGCTTGTGAATTCCTTGGTGGAAGATTTGCTGTCTTCTTTGGTCTTACTCAACCCAAATATCAATATGTGTTAAATGAGTACCACAGAATACAATATAAGGTATGTGACATCCTGATAGGGACATCAAGGGCACTGAAAGATTTGACTGTTCCAACTTCAGGCTGGTATAAAAGAAGATTTTTCTACCTAGTTATCAAGAACTACAGTTTCATTGAGCTCCCACAGTCAGACAGCTCCCATGATCAGACTGACTGACTGGTCTAATTCTCATCCCATGACATTTGTTTGTGTTTGTATTTTTCCCACTCCCATGAAGTTAGTATGTCATGAGATGGGTGACAAAAGTAGTTGAATGTAAAGCCTGAAATTGCTTCTTGCACGGGCATCTTAATAAAAGGGAGAGTTTGTTGCATAGTTAAACTTTTCCTTATTTCTCTCCAAACCAGGAAAGTAACAAAGAAAGGGAAGAGAATGGATCAAAGGACCAGGCAGCTAAGTCTTCTAATGAAAAGTGTCGCCTGAAGACTGGAGTCCCTGAATATGGGACCAGACAACAGGACCTGGCAAAGGCCATTCCTCAGCAGGGCACCTCATCTAGGGAGGGCTTGGTGGCAGATACCAGCTCATGATGGGCATCAGAGACTGTAGTTTCCTTGTATCTCTGTCTTGAGCTATTGGTTACCATGGCAACAGCACCGCAGGTAGCACTTTTTAGGCCAGAACTGGGACTAAGCTTGTGACTCTAAAATTGAGGAATTGCAAACAGTGAGTGATTTTGGATACTTTCTCAATATAATTTTTTTATATAAGTTCCCATCCCAACTCCACCCAGTAATACACTCTGTTAGTCTTGACATTTAGATTTGGGCTGAAATTCTTTGTTATAGGGCTAGAGTAAAGATTCTCTGTTCCTCAGAAGAAAATTCATAGAGTGTAAATAAATTCCTTTTTTAGGGATTGAAATAAGGTATATACTTCCTGTCATCCTGTCTTAGTTGGAACTCGCTTTATGATTAGCAAACATTGATAGTAGCACTATGAAATGATATTTATCAACGTTTTTGAGAATTATATACACCTCTGCCCGCCCCCCCAAAGAATTGGAAAACAAGTAATAAGAGCACTACACAAGTTTTAAAAAAATGGATGATTTCTTTGTTTATTTGTCAACAATTTTTCCAAACCTGTAAAGATCAAATGTGAAAATCAGAGTTACATAGCACAGATTGTACTGGACAAATAAATAACTGTGAATTAGTAGACAGAAACAAAACTTTCAGTAATAAAATTTGACTTCTAGTTCACTTTTTCCATTTACTAGTTTTGTGATTTTGAAGGTGTCCAGATTTCTGATCCCAGTTTCCTTCTTTTTAAAATATAGATGACATTTATGTGGCTTTTCTTGGATTGTTGTTAAACAAAATAATAAATGTGAAAACACTTATAAAGATGTCAATATCTGTTGTTAATATATAATTAATGATTACTATATTGGTGGTCCCCAAAGAACCAAGGATGCTGGAATTCATACCCTTGTATAGCTCCACCCACATCGACTCTAGGCTCGAACATGTGACTTGCTTTGGCTGCTGAGATAGTAACAACTGTGATGCAAGGAGAGGTTTGATAAGCACTTGCATATTAGGGTTTGTCCACTTCAGAAGCTCCATGTTGTAAAGAAGGTTGAACTAGACTTCTTTTATTTATTTATTTATTTATGACAGCAGAATGCATTACAATTCTTATTACACATATAGAGCACAATTTTTCATATCTCTGGTTGTATACAAAGTATATTCACACCAATTTGTGTCTTCATACCTATACTTTGGATAATAATGATCATCGCATTCCACCATCACTTCTAATCCCACGCTCCCTCCCTTCCGCTCCCACCCTTCCGCCCTATCTAGAGTTCGTCTATTCTTCCCATGCTCCCTCTCCCTATCCCACTATGAATCAGCCTCTTTGTGTCAAGGAAAACATTTGGCATTTGGTTTTTTGGGATTGGCTAACTTTACTTAGCATTATCTTCTCTAACTCCATCCATTTACCTGCAAATGCCATGATTTTATTCTCTTTTATTGCTGAGTAATATTCCATTGTGTATATATGCCACATTTTTTTTATCCATTCATCTATTGAAGGGCATCTAGGTTGGTTCCACAGTTTTTCTATTGCTATTGTGAATTGTGCTGCTATAAACATTGATGTGGCTGTGTCCCTGTAGAATGCTGTTTTTAAGTCCTTTGGGTATAGACCACAGAGAGGGATAGCTGGGTCAAATGGTGGTTCCATTCCCAGTTTTCCAAGGAATCTCCATACTGCTTTCCATATTGATGCACCAATTTGCAGTCCCACCAGCAATGTATGAGTGTACCCTTTTCCTCGCATCCTCGCCAACACTATTGTTGTTTGTCTTCATATTAGCTGCCATTCTGACTGGAGTGAGATAAAATCTTAGAGTGGTTTTGATTTGTATTTCTCTAATTGCTAGCAATGATGAATATTTTTTTCATATATTTGTTGATTGATTGTACATCATCTTCTGAGAAGTGTCTGTGCAGGTCCTTGGCCCATTTATTGATTGGGTTATTTTTTTTTTTAAATTTTTATTTTTTGGTGCTTAGCTCTTTGAATTTTTTTTATATACCCTAGAGATTAGTGCTCTGTCTGATGTGTGAGGGATAAAGATTTGTTCCCAGGATGTAGGCTCTCTATTCACCTCATAGTGTCGCAGCCTGGCTGGCTGGGCAAAATAACCGGGGGGGTGACGAACAACTTGTGTAGATTGATACAGCAGGAGTAGGAGCCGTTTATTGTAGGACAACAGAGGTATTTATACATTTTGCACAGCTTATCTTAATTAGCATAAACTAGATACATCAGTCAACCAATAAGAAATCTTCACACTTAATGGCTCGCTGGCGTTACTTCACAAACCACTCCCTCTGGCATTTTGCCAGGCGCCATCCAGACTTGTTTACAGACTCTAACATCATAGATTATTTCTTTTGCTGAGAAGAAACTTTTTAGTTTAAATCCATCCCATTTATTGATTCTTGATTATAATTCTTGTGCCACAGGAGTCTTATTAAGGAAGGTGGGGCCTAATCCCACATGATGGAGATTTGGGCCTACTTTTTCTTCTATTAGATATAGGGTCTCTGGTTTTATTCCTAAATCCTTGATCCATTTTGAGTTGAGTTTTGTGCATGGTGAGAGTTAGGGGTTTAATTTCATTTTGTTACATATGGATTTCCAGTTTTCCCAGCACTATTTGTTAAAGAGGCTATCTTTTCTCCAATGCATGTTCTTGGCACCTTTGTCTAATATAAGATAATTGTAGTTTTGTGGGTTAGTCTCTGTGTCCTCAATTCTGTACCATTGGTCTACCCATCTGTTTTGTTGCCAATAACATGCTGTTTTTGTTACTATTGTTCTGTAGTATAGTTTAAGGTCTGGTATAGTGATGCCACCTGCTTAACTCTTCCTACTAAGGATTGTTTTAACTATTCTGGGTCTCTTATTTTTCCAGATGAACTTCATGATTGCGTTTTCTATTTCTATGAGGAATGTCATTGGAATTTTTATCGGAATTGCATTAAATCTATATAGTGCTTTTGGAAATATGGTCATTTTGATAATATTAATTTCTGCCTATCCAAGAACAAGGTAAATCTTTCCATCTTCTAAGGTCTTTTGATTTCTTTCTTTAGAGTTCTGTAATTTTTATTATATAGATCTTTCACCTCTTTTATTAAGTTGATTCCCAAGTATTTTTTTTTTAGGCTATTGAAAATTGGGTAATTTTCTTCATTTCCCTTTCTGATGATTTGTCACTGATATACAGAAATGCCTTTGATTTATGGGTGTTGATTTTATATCCTGCTACTTTGCTAAATTCACTTACTAGTCCTAGAAGTTTTCTGGTGGAACTTTTAGGGTCTTCTAGGTATAGAATCATATCATCAGCAAAGAGTGCCAATTTGAGTTCTTCTTTTCCTATGTATATCCCTTTAATTTCTTTCATCTGTCTAATTGCTCTGGCCAGTGTTTCAAGAACTATGTTAAGTACAAGTGGTGAAAGATGGCATCCCTGTCTTGTTCAAATTTTTAGAGGGAATGCCTTCAATTTTTCTCCATTTAGAATGATGTTGGCTTGGGTCTTAGCATAGATAACCTTTATGATGTTGAGATATGTTCTTGTTATCCCTATTTTTTCTAGTGTTTTGAACATAAAGGGGTGCTGTATTTTGTCAAATGCTTTTTCTGTGTCTATTGAGATGATTATATGATTCTTATCTTTAAGTCTATTGATGTGATAAATTACATTTATTGATTTCTGTATGTTGAACCAACCTTGCATCCCTGGGATGAATCCCACTTGATCGTGGTGCATGATCTTTTTGATATGTTATTGTATTTGATTTGCCAGAATTTTATTGAGAATTTTTGCATCTGTTCATTAGAGATATTGGTCTGAAGTTTTCTTTTTTTGATGTGTCTTTGCCTGGTTTTGGAATCAGAGTGATATTGGCCTCATAGAATGAGTTTGGGAGTGCTGCCTCTTTTTCTATTTCCTGAAATAAATTGGAGAGTATTGGTATTAGTTCTTCTTTAAAGGTCTTGTAGAACTCAGCTGTGTATCTGTCTGGTCCTGGGCTTTTCTTGGTTGGTAGACTTTTCATGGCATCTGCTATTTTGTCACTTGAAATTGATCTGTTTAAATTGTGTATATCATCCTGATTCAATTTAGGCAAATTATATGACTCTAGAAATTTGTTGATACTTTCAATATTTTCTATTTTATTGGAATACAAGTTTTCCAAATAATTTCTAATTATCTTCTGTATTTCTGTAGTGTCTGTTGTGATATTTCCTTTTTCATCACATATGTTAGTGATTTGAGTTTTCTCTCTCCCTCTCTTTGTTAGCCTGGCTAAGGGTCTGTCAATTTTATTTATTTTTTTCAAAGTACCAACTTTTTGTTCTGTCAATTTTTTCAATGTTTCTTTTGTTTCAAGTTCATTGACTTCAGCTCTGATTTTAATTATTTCCTTTCTTCTGCTGCTTTGGTATTTTGTTCCTCTTTTTCTAGGGCTTTGAGAGGTGGTGTTAAGTCATTTATTTGTTGATTTTTTCTTCTTTTAAGGAATGAACTCCATGCAATGAACTTTCCTCTTAGAACTGCTTTCGTAGTGTTCCAGAGATTTTGATATGTTGTATCTGTGTTCTCATTCACCTCTAAATTTTTTTTTAATCTCCTCCTTGCTGTCTTCTATAACCCATTGTTCATTCAGTAGCATATTATTTAGTCTCCAGGTGTTGGAGTAGATTTTATTTCTTATTTTATCATTGATTTCTAATTTCATTTCATTATGATCTGATAGAATACAGGGTAGTATCTCTACTTTTCATATTTGCTAAGAGTTGCTTTATAGCATAGTATATGGTCTATTTTACAGAAGGATCCATGTGCTGTTGAAAAGAAAAGTGTATTCTCTCATTGAAGAAATGAAATATTCTATATATGTCAGTTAAGTCTAAGTTATTAATTGTATTATTGAGTTCTATAGTTTCTTTGTTCAGCTTTTTTTGGAAGATCTATCTAGTGATGAAAGAGGTG